ATATTATTACTCTTCTGGACACTCTCCCTCAAGGGAGATGAAAAGAACAATGGGTTCTCTGTTCTGTGCTCAATGCTTCATGTAAATTATAGATATTATAGTCCCCATTTTATAGGTGAGGAAAGTGACTGGTTTTCTAAATTAGTAAGTGGCAGAGCTGGGATAAAACTCCAAATCCAGTATACTCTTCTACCACACCTCACACCTATACCACAAATGGCCAAGGTCTACCTTAATAAAAGAAAGCACTATCCTTGTTTGAATGGTGGCATGATCTGCCTCTGTTACTATTCATATTATGACTCACATGCCTCCCCTTTTCTACCCTGTTACCCTCTCCTAAACTTACCTCACGTGGGTCTGCTTCTTCTCCCACTTGAACGTGTGGACGAACTGCCTGCAGAGCTACTTCAAACGCAGACAAACTGGTTCAACAGCTCTGCGTGGGGCCTGAAAGTGCATTTCTTACAAGCTCCCAGGTGCTGAGGACACATCTGGTCCTCAACCACACCTAGGGTAGCAAGGATGTAGATTCGTGTTATGTTCTCAGGTAAATGGAAATCATTCTGGGTGATGAGAACTCTGACCCCATAGTGCTGCTTCACGTTATGTAAAAGCTGGATCAGTTAAAGCAGGTCAAAGGGCAGTAACAGAGAAACTGCAGTGAGTTGCCTGCCCAGAGTCTGTGCTGGTGGCCAAATCATAGTACGATCTATTATACTGATTTATATGCCTCTGTGTAGGATACTTAGAACTTTTTCTGTTTGGTCTTTACAACTGCTCTATAAGATATGATGGGTATGTAATGTTCCTGGCACATAGAATGCCCAATAAATGTGGGGTATTTTTATCCCCATTTTAAAGACAGAGATTGAGCCTCCGAGAAAGTAACTTGATCAAGCAGATGCTCAAATTCACATCTTCTGACTACGGCTGTGAAACTCTTCCCCACCCCAGCCATCCTTCCCAACTGCTACACACTTTTCTGGGTTGTAAATAATTTCCTTTTTCCCTCCTTTTTGTTTTTTTTAAGTTTTTTTAAGTTTGTGACTCAGAGTCACTTATTATGGCTTAATAAATATTAATAAATATCATATTAGCAATGTGATGAAAAATATTTAAAAGGTGAAACAAAATCAATTAATTTTCCCATTCTCTTTCCTCATTTCTCACTGTCTTTAAATAAATGGCCTAATTCCACCCCATCTGCAGACCTATCCACACACCTTTAAAAAGATATTTATAGCTTTAAAAGCCTTTCCCAGCACCTTTTTCTCTCCTGCTGGGCACTCTCTTTATTTTTTAATCCTCACCCGAGGATATATTTTTATTGTTTGGTTTTTTTTAAAAGAAAGGAAGGGAGAGAGATAGAAACATCAATGTGAGAAACATCGACTGGTTGCCTTTCCGACGTGCTCTGACCCAGTATCAAACCCGAGTATGTGCCCTGACCAGGAATCAAACCCAAAATGTTTTTGTATACGGGATAATGCGCCAACCAACCTAGCCCCCGGCCAGGGCTCTTGCTGGGCACTCTTATCTCACCCTTGGTAGCAGCTCTAACTTATCCTACTGAGATGCTATCACCTTTTAAAGTCTTGTGGTGTTTATGGCAGAGAGAAAGAGGGCGGTGGCAGTTGGTCAGATGGAAGTTTGCTTCCGTTCTTGCAGAGATGTCCTTTCTTCTGGATTTTATACGTGAGAATTATTGAGCCTCCCTCTCCCCACTTTAATGTCAGTTCCTCTTATTAGATATGGATAAAGATGAAAGTGGACTCAAAACAGTGAAACCGTGACAATCAAAGAAACATCTTAAAGGTTCCAATCTTAATGGCTTCAGTTGCATTTTGAGATGAGGCAGCATTACATGGTGAACAGTCACACTAAAGTCATTACTGCCTAGGGGCAACTCTTCCTCTTTTTTTTTTTTTTTTAAACTAAACATCTTTTCTTTTTATTCCCTTTATTGATTTTAGAGAGAGGAACATTGATGAGAGCCCTGGCCGGTTTGGCTTAGCTTAGGTTAGAGTGTTGGCCTGCAGACCAGAATCCCGGGTTCAATTCCAGCCAAGGGCACAAGCCTCGGTTGCAGTTTGTCCCCAGCCCTGGTTGGGGTAGTGTGGGTGGCAAGCAGTTGACGTGTCTCCCTCACATAGATGTTTCTCTCTCTCTCTCTCTCTCTCCCTCCCTCCCACTCTGTCTGAAGATAAATATAAAAATATCCTCGGGTGAGGAGAAAAAAAAAAAAAGAAACATCAATGAGAAAGAACATCAGTTGGCTGCCTCCTGCATGCCCCCACTAGAGTTTTGGCCCACAACCTGGGCATGTGCCCTGGCCGGGAATCAAACCAGCAGGTCTCTTGGTGCATGTGTCAACACTCAACCAGTGAGCCACACCAACTCTTCCTCTTGATAACTGTTTATTAACATTAATTCCTAGTGTCATAATAGTACTAGAAAATTAACATACATACTTCTCCCTAGGCCTATAAAGTACAAAAGAACCTAATTAAAAATTAAACCCAAAACGCCAATAAACACATTTAAAAGGGTTTGGGTTTTTTTTGCCTCCTGTAGTCTAATATGAATGTGTGAAAACAATAGCCAAAAAAGATAACATGTATTGCACACTGTATGCCAGACACTGTCTTAAGAGCTTAAAACCTCCCAATAACTTTTCAAGTACTATTACTACATCCCCTTTAAAGATGAGAAAACTGACTTTTCGGGAGGTTCAGGAACTAGCTCAAGGTCAGAGTTGCTAAGCCAGACATTTAAATCCAGGCAGTTGGACTCTAGGTCCAAGATCTTAACTTTTATTCTGTAGTATTTCCCAAGATGCCCAGATGTTGTTTGTTTGTGAGAATTTAAATATAAACCTACAGTCCTGGTTGGTGTGGCTCAGTTGGTTGAGAGTCATCCCATGCACCAAGAGGTCACCAGCTGATTCTCAGTCAGGACACATGCCTGGGTTGATGGCTCAATCCTCCAGTAAGGGGTGTGAACAGGGCAGCTGATAGATGTTTCTTTCTTTCTTTCTCTCTCTCTCCGTCTCCCTTCCTCTCTCTTTAAAACCAGTAAAAAGAATTGTTAAAAAATATATATGTAAATATATATATGTAAACCTACATCTTCTTTTAATTTGCAAAAAAGAGAAACTTCTATTCAAAGCAGCTTAAGTAAAAGGGGGTGATTTAATGGCTCCGGTCAGTAACTGACATCAGGGACAGTTAGATTTAGGGACCTGAATGCTGTCGGGATTCTCCCTGTGTGTTCCTTGCTGAATGTCAGACTCTTCCAGATCAGTTTATGGGAGTCCACATGGTGGATCATTTGGGGAAGCACCAATTTCATATCTTAATATTAACCCAAAGAGAAAAATATCTATCCCTCATGGCTCAGGAAAAGAAAATTCTGATTGACCCAGTTGTGATTATGTACCCATCCCTTGGTCATCCCAGTAGCAAGGGATATAGAGAACTAAGATCTGCCCAGTCTGGGTCACATGTCTATCCCTGTAGTCTGGAGGGCTGAGTCTGCACCAGAAAAGGGCAGAAAGGTGCTGGACAGAAAAAATAAAATAGTTGTTGAACTACCTCTTTAGAGTTTACAAAGTGCTCTCATATGATTCATGCATCTTGAGTCTTACAACTACCCTATGAAGAGGGCAGGTCAAGTATTACTAAGATGTGGGCTACCATTATATTTATCTGTTTACTATACATCAGTGGACACTCCATAGGCATGTGAAGTTCAACATGTCCAGAGCTGATCTCATCACCTTGCCACTTTACTGACTCCCACTTCTGATTTCTTTCTTGATTGATAGTACCTTCAACAACATTACTCCCAAGCCTGTGAGGTTAACTTCACTCTCCCTTTCCCTCAATGTCACATTGTTACTAATGCTAATTTTGCCTCCTAATTATTTTTGCAATTTATTCCTTTCTCTAAATATCCCATAAACAGCACAAAATAAAAATATTCAAAGCTTAACTAATTAAGTCCTCTCCCAAACCTGTTTTTCTTCCTGGGTTCTAGTAGGATATTATCCCCATCCACTTAGTTGCCAAATACAGAATTGGGAATTAAGGTTGATTTCTTTCCTTTGACTTTCGTGCTTGTGTAACTACCAATTCTTAATGTTTGGCATCTTATTTGTCTCTTAAACCTACCCACTTGTCTCCATTCTCAGGGTGATCATCTCTCACTGCCTGCAGCAGTCTCCTAATTGGTGCCCCTGCCTTCAGTCTTCTCTCCCTCTGGCCTCTTCCGCAGGAGGAAGCCAGATCTGATCAGGCCAGCAACTTCCCTCTCCCCTACTCCTCGTTTTCTAATCCTTTGACTCCTAGTATGCTTAATCAGACTACAAAATCTAGGGTAATAGCCATAATTCATATACCTTTGTCTACCCTGCACGTATCACACTGTACTGGGCACATAATCGATGCTCAATAAATATAAAACTGTACTCATTCCCTTTGTGATTAAAGGTTATTTAAAGCAAATAAATCCTTGCCAAATTCTAGGTGTGTCAGACCTCTGGAGGCACAGGGTATCAGGCTCTGGTTCGCTGTCGTGCGGGCTGGAGGCCTTTAAAGAAAGCAATCGGAAACTAGCATAATCGTACCAAACGAATTGTGCAGTCAGCACACAAAAGGATGCAAATCCCAACGCATCTTCAGGATGGTGACTTAAGACTAAAGCCGGCCTTATGGCTCTGGACAAGTATCTTCCCCGTTCTGGACCTCTGTCTCCCGACCTGTGAAATGAGCATGTTGAGAGAGAGAGAAAGGGCAAGTTCAGAGCCGCAGTATGAGAAATAATGGGGCTCTACGTAGCAGCCGGCGCGTGCCTGTGAACGTGCGCGTGCGCGGGCTCTTCCGGCGCGGCCGTCCGGCGGCCCCCGGGGAGGCGGGACCAGGCACGTTCCCGCGGTTTGGCCCCGCCATTGGCGGGCGGTTTGAATGACGGAAATGACGGCAGCTCGGCGATGGCCGCTCCGCAGGCGCACGAACGGCTGTTGGGAAGCTGATCGGCGGCGGCCTCCCGGGCCTTCCCCGTCTGAACTGCGTTTCTTGGCTTCCGGCTCCCGGTTCTCAGGTGAGTGACGGACGCGCCGGCTTCCCCGCGCCCCAGGGCGTGCACGGCTCCCGGAAGCCAGGGAGCTGGGAATGTGCTGGGGAGGAAGCGGGCGAACGCCTCGGCGGGCCGCTTTCCCTGGCTCGGGTGGGCTTGCGGCTGTAAGGAGCTCCGGGGCCCAAGCAGGCCCGCCCGCTCGTGCGCGAGGCTGTCCTGGGCCTTGTCGCGTGTGGCTTTGCGCCTCTCCCGGGGTCGGGCCGCTCGGCGCCCCGGAAATTCCGAGTTCCTGCTGCTGCTACGCACTCTTCCCGTGCGTCCTGCCCGCCGTAGCCCCAAGATCGCCTGGCGGCCTGAAACCTGGTAGCCGTTTAAGAGCACCGCCTGGGATCGTTTCATGCGGACAAGCGTGCTCTTTTTTGGTGTCTCCACCTTTTATTTCTCAGGTATTAAGTCCTGCCCCAAACTGAGCTTTTAAAACGCTGGGGAACGTTCGAGTCTTTAATACTTAGAAAACATTTGGTGGTTCCATATTCATTAAGTCACATAATCATCAGAACAAGCGGTTGGGGTAGATACTACTCCTACTGTATAGTTTATGAAAAGCAGACTAAAGTGACTTGGCCAGTGTGTTCCTGCTTTAAGTTGCAGTGTTGGGTCCTGAACCCAGATTTCTAAGGCTAGAATTAATTTTGTAATTATGTTGTGTCAGGTGCCATTTAATCTGAACAAAATCTTGCAAGATAAACAGTAATCTCTCTTATTGGGTAACAATAATACATAGAATTTAAAAGTCCATGTTGATATGAACACGTGAAGGAGCAAGGGAAACACTTCCTTACAGTAGGTTTCCAAATATGAGTGTAGCGGGAATAATGGAAACTGAAAATGCCTTTTCATAACCAGCACAGTAATTGTTTCAGACAGCAATCATCAATGGATACTAAACTTAGTGGGCAGAAGTTTGATGAGCAACATGATATTTACATAGCCTCAACTATGTCTCCACCAGATACTTACAAAGGAAAAGTAGAAACCTGGTATGTAGATACCACCTTAACCATTTGCTCAAAATTTACATGGCCTGTAGTAAGACCGGTTAACCTCATTTACCTCCTGATGTGATGCACTGAGAAGGGTGCATTATTATCACTTCTGTGTTGTTCTTGCCAAAAAGGCATAACGTTATACTGACCACAAGAAAAGATCAAACAAATCTAAATTGAGGGACGTTCTATAAAATAACTGGCCAGTATTCTTCAAAAATGTCAATATCTTGAGAAGAAAGACAGGCTGAAGAACTGCCCCAGATAAGAGGAGTTGAAGGAGAAGTGACAACCTCCGCAGCCATGAGGATGTGAAGCATCTGCATTCTAAAGTTAGTTTGCGTGGATGCTTCCCATGGGCTGCTCCTAGCCAAGGACAGAGCCTTGCCAATAACTGAGCATAGCAGGCCTGTTCTGAGAAACAAGGGACGTTAGCCTGAGGATTCCCCAAAGGTCTTGGTGAACCTTCCTTAGATTGCATGGCCATTTAGGAGGCATCTACCCAGCTTACCTCTATCTTTGACTAGTGTCAGATTTGCGTGGAAGTCTGAAGTGTTCCCAGCTTTTACCAGCTCTCTCCCCATTGTTCCTGATAAGGGCACTTCCCCTAATAAAATCTTTGTGGGTTTAATCCCACCTTGGTATCTGTGGAGTACCACAATAATCAAATGTAATGTATTTTTCTTGGATTGGGTCCTGGTCCAGAAAATGGTCATTAGTGGAACAATTGATGAAATTTGAAGATTTTAACTTTTTCTGTAGATTAGTTAAAAGTATCATGCCAGTGTTACTTGCCTGGTTTTGATTATTGTGCTGTGATTATGTGAGCTGTTAACATTTAGAGAACCTGGGGAAAGGGTGTATGGGAATTCTAAGTCTGAAATTATTTCCAAATAAGTTTTTAAAAATTTAAAGTTATATACAAGAGAAAGCAGTTTTTCTATCACATCTAGGTAAAAATAACAAATGTATGTTTGTTTTCTATAGCCTGCTAGCAGAAGAAATGGTGAATACTCAGAATTTTTGGAAATGACATATCATTTTGACATATCAAAATTTTTGGAACTAGAACATATCAGAATGACCTGAGGAGAGTTTTCAAGTTATAGAAACTTACAGATTCTTATGTTCTTTCCATTTCTTTCTAGCAGACTCCCCCAAATCGGGGCATGTTAAACTAGGGAGGAGGGTGAGAACACTGAGTATAAACAGTACCACTAGAAAAATAGAACTGGAAATCTAAACAATCAGCTTATCCAAAAAACAGAATTATTCCAAGAGGATTTTTAAATGATTATTTATTTTAAAATCACACCATTGTAATTGTTGAAAAATTGTTTACTATTCAGGGGTTGATGTGATTCCGCATGATACAATGACACTTGGTGATCAACTTGTATACAACAGATTGGAAGTTGAACCTAGGGACCAGGAGCCCTTGGCAGTTACCAGCAGTCTTGCTGGTTATGAACAAGTTATTGAAGTGTTAAATTGTAATTGTGAAAACATTTATTCTGTGCTGACACGTCTTTTTATTTTATTTATTTTTATCCTCACTTGAGGACATTTTTCCATTTCTTGTTCAGATAGAGTGGGAGGGAGAGAGAGGAAAAGAGAGAGAGAAAAAAACATCGACGTGAAAGGGACACATCGAGTGGCTGCCTCCTACATGACCCACCCAGGGCCAGGTACAAGCTGCAACCGTGGTACATGCTCTTAGCGGGAACTGAACCCGGGTCTCTCTGGACCGCAGGCCAATGCTCAACCGCTGAGCCAAATCGGCCAGGGCCTGACACGTCTTTTTAAATTGTTGTGCTTTTTTTTTTTTTTTTTACATTTAAACTAAGCAAACTGGAAATCCCAATCAGGAATAAGTCCGGTCCCAGATATTCTAGGTAATCAATAATCTGCTGTAGATGGGGATATTTTTTTTCAAGTAATTCTGATGATCCTCCACTTAACCCCTTCCCATCTATCTGAGAACCACTGATTTAAGTGCTGAATTAATAATTGATATTTGTAAATAAGTTGGACTTTGTTTACCCAGATTATTTTATTTGCACGTATATAGCCCTTTACCTATCAAATATATTAATATATATATTTTTTAAATTATCTTTGCTACCCTATTTTAATAGACATTTTTCCTTTCTAAAAATTCAGAACCTTTATATTTAAAGAACACAGAAATGAAAAGAAAGGTAGTGAATGCTGGCAAAATGAGATTGAGTCCTAATGAGGAAGCCTTCATTTTAAAAGAAGATTATGAAAGAAGACGAAAACTAAGATTGCTACAGGTAAGATTTATGAACCAAGCTTCAAATTCTTTGTCTTCCCCAAATTATTAGTATTTTTTACGTTAGAGTGTTCTAAATAAAATGTTGCATTTAAAAACCTTTTTCTGTCTGTACAAGAGCCCTGGTTCTTGCATACTAACTAGTTTTGGAACATTTGAAAAATAGATTGAAGTGGTAAATAGATTGAAGAAGAGTTTCAGGATAGAGGTGATTTGACTCAATAATTATTGGAAGGTAGTTCTTTAAATATTTTTTAAAGGATGTGTGACTGATGACGATTAGAATGACTCTGAAGGAGACTTACTGTAAGATTATTAGCTGCTGGAACAAATGTATTAAGTTGTAGTTTTTTTCTAGAAGTCTTTAGAGTAGGTTAGTTAAGTCTTTGTGGAGCATGTTTTAGGTGCCATTCTGCCTAGAATTGGGGATTATGTACCACAGATAGGGAGTTCTATAGCTCTTATCTATATTTACCTGGGCTATAGATTTTGTTGAATTAAGCGTAACCATTTTAGCCTCTTAAATTAGATTACTAGAATGATAATGGCAGTACCATTAGGGCTTGGGGGTATAATAGCTAATCATTTAGGAAACTGTAGATGTCTTGAAATTTTAGTTATTTTCTATATCACTTAGATGTTTTTTGCTTTATATAGAGCTTATCTAATACAGTATGAATATTCAGGAGAATTGATAAACCTAAAGAGAATTCATTTAAATTTCTGTTTCCAAATAGCTTTTCAAAAAAGTTTAAATACTCTTTTTCATATAATCTGTTAAATATTCATTCTTCAGGTTAGAGAACAGGAAAGGGATATTGCTTTACAGAGAAGAGAAGATATAAAACAGAGGAGAAATCGGCAATTTACTCGTTTGGCAGAGGCACTGAGGACAGAATGGGAAGAATCACAAGCTCAGAAAATAAACAACTTGGAAAAACTGTATTTGTCCAGTTTAAGAAATATGGGAGAGGGACACCAACAAGCCAAAGAAAATGTAAGTGAACACTTATTTGACTGCCTGTCTGTGGCAGTAATTTTGGTAAAAAGTAAATTATACTTGTTAAATGCTTGTCTGATAAAAAAAATATTTTCATACGTAGAATTTGTTTTGGGCACCCTGAGCTTTTTAAATTTAATATAATTTAAGAATGCTGCTAGGTTCATTTTCTACTAAGAGTCATGTCAAGTAAAATCTGTCTTCCTGTGATGTTTCAAGTATCATTCTCTTCCAGTCTTTAGCTGTCTGGGTAAATAAAGTAGTAACCTTCTTAATCAGAAGTTGTTATTTTGATCATTTTGGACAAATTCAGTGGGGTGAATTCAAATTTCCCATTTCATTGTCATTCTTTATACCTCCTAAAACATATATAATTGAATGTATGTACACTTGGATTTCATTCACAAAGAGTAAAAATTCTTTGATGACTTTCAGAGAGGCAAAGTAGAGCTTAACTCAGTATTTAATACTTCCCTCTGGATCTTATTTTGATGTTTATTGTGATTTATGGTTGGAAAATAGAGGCATACCTTGGAGATATTGCAGGTTTGGTCTCAGACCACTGCAATAAAGTGAGTTACAAGAATTGTTTGGTTTTCCGGTACTAATAAATGTTATGTTTACACTATACTGTAGTCTAATAAGTGTATAATAACATTATGTCTAAAAAACAACGTATGTACCTTAACCAAAAAGTACTTGAATGCCAGAAAATGCTAACCGTCATCTGAGCCTGTTAGAAAAATGGCACCAGTCGACTTGCTCAAGGCAGGGTTGCCACAAACCTTTAATTTGTAAAAACTATCATGTGCAGTAAAGTGAAACAAAGCAAAACAGTGTGTACCTATTCTAGATTGCAGTCCCAGGGACACACACAAAATAAGCTGGTTCCAAAGAAGGCAAGTCTTCAATATCAAACCACTAGTGAGGAAAAGAAAGGTCTTTAAAGACTGGGGCAGTCAAATATGTTTCCTGGTCTTTGTTGTTAGTAATGACCTTGAGTTCTGACATCAGATATTTGTAGCTTCATTTATGCTGCCATTAACTTTGAGCCATTTCTGAAACATTGTTTCCTAAACTTCAGTCATTTGCATATCACCTTCATGATTTGTGCCCTGACTGGGTAAGCAACCAAGAGTTGTTCTATAATATTACCTTGTAACCTTGTTTAACATGATTGAATGTCGTGTGTGTACGTGTGTGTACACACACTTTTTTTTTTTTCCCTTTAGGAACCTGATTTAAAAGCTCTGGCACAGCGAGCAGCAGAAAGAAAGAAAAAAGCAGATGTGAGGCATAAAGAGGCCCTGAAAGTACAGAAAAATCAAAAAGAAATGTTAATGAAACAAAAAACCTGGTAAAATAATACTTTCTACCGTATTCTCCACTGAAACTGATAGGGTTAGAAGTAGAAGCTGCATTGGATATTGTTTTATTTTTACTTTTTATTGTTGAAAGTATTACAGATGTCCCCCTTTTTTCCCCATTGACCCCTTCTTCCAGTTCCCACCCACCTCCTGCTTTCCCCAGCCTAATGTCTGTGTCCATTGGTTGTGCATATATGCATATATAAGTTCTTTGGTTTATCTCTTCCCACCCTCCATGCATTGGATATTGTTTAAGCAGCTATTAAATAAAAGTCACAGTATACCCATCGTGTTTGTTAACTTGGTTTAAAAGTAATGCACTAGGGGTGGTTTGTTTAGATGAACATAGGAACAAATGAACTTTCTCTTCTAGCCTGACTTTAGCAACAATTACTAAATTTATGTAGAAATGTATGGCTAGTTCAGAATGCTTGTCAACCAAAATATCTCTGCCTTTGATGTAGAAAAGAAAAAAAAAATCAGTGCAATTAAGAATATTAAAAGATGTTGTAGCCTCTTTGGAAGTCATTAGTGAGTATTTTTGCATGTTGTAAAAATGAAAGAGCCTATTTCTAGTCAGCAGCATTCATTTTATACAGTGGCCCATTTTTATCAATATTTCTCTTTCTCTCTCTCTCTCTGTCTTTTTAACTCTAAACTATCCTAAACTAAGGAACATTAGATGTTCCTTGGATTGTAAAGCTTTATGTCTTTAGATACATCTTTTTGCTTGGTAGACATTTTCTTACATGTTTACTGTATACAGACTCTTTATTAAACAACACACTGAACCTTTGGGATCAGATTGGAGAATTTCTTCAGATCCTATGGCTTTTATATTTTTAACCTTAAGGGTTATATATTGTAATATTACCTTAGAAAGTAATTTATGCCATTTCTTGATTTTAAGGCACATAAAAGCTCGAAAGGAAGCACTGCTTGCAGAAAAAGAGAGATCTGCCAAGATCGCAAGTCTGCCACCTCCTCCTCCAACTCTTTTTGAGGTGAATTACTTCGAGTGTTAAGAAGAAATAGGTTATAATAATTCTTTACTATTAGAATTCAGTGCAGGTCAAAATGTCATTTACTTTATTTATTTTTAATTTATTGATTGAGAGAGAGAGAAACATCGATATGTTGTTCCACTACTTATGCATTCATTGGTTGATTCTTGTATGGTGCCTTGACTGGGAATCAAACCCGCAACCTTGGCATATCAGGATGATGCTCTAACCACCTGAGCTACCTGGCCAGGGCCTAATTTAATTTTAATTGTACAAGTAACACGTATGTGTATCTGGAGTATTTAAAGATAATGCTAGGTATTATTTTACACTAATACTTTAGTATGTGTATCTACTATATAAGGACTTTTTTTTTTTAGTACAGTACTAATATTGTCCCAGTATCATCTAAAACATAGTCTGTTCAATTTTCCTCAGTTATCTCAAAATATTTTTTTGTTATTTGAAAACCTTAATACTTTTGGTTTTTTAAAAACTATGAATAGTTTGGGTGTTTTGGTTTTTTTTTAATGCCCTTTATTTATTTAAATTTAAAAATAACTGCCCTGCCCGTGTGGCTCAGTGGTTGAGCGTCAACCCATGCACCAAGAGGTCACCGGTTTGATTTCCAATCAGGGCACATGCCCAGGTTGTGGGCCCAATTCCCAGTGGGGGGCATGCAGGAGGCGGCCAGTCGATGTTCTTTCTCATCGATGTTTCTGTCTCTTTCTCCTCCTTTCCTCTCTGTTTAAAATCAGTAAAGAAAAAAAAACTGAATTATTTGCTCTGTAGAGTTTTCCACATTCAGAATTTGGCCATTATAAATAATTACCATATAAGATAAAGAAATTAGGTTTATGTAAGTTGATAAATTTATATAAGATTATGTAAAATGATGAGAGATCTCTTTATGGTAGTAAAAAGTGTGCTTTTGTGATTTGGAGCTTATTTTTGAAAAAACTTATTTAGTAAAGTGAAAATTCATTTTAAAAGGTATTGGATTTCAAGTAGTTGTATATATGTATATACATTTGAATATAAATTGTAGGGATAACATTTTATCCTAAATACTTCTGCATACTTCTTGTAAGAATAAGGATATTCTCGTATGCGGCTACAATAACACCTTAGGAAAATTAACATTAATTCCTTAAATTCGTTTAATATTTAGTCTGTAATCAGAAATTTCCAATTGCCCCCAAGTTGTCTTATCTTACAGCCTTTTTTTTTTAAACCAGGATCCAAATCAAGGTTCACCAATTGCTTCTGCTTACTTTGTCTCTTTGGTGTCCTTTAATGTAGAACATATCTCCCCACAACCTTAAACAAGTCTTTTATTTTAGACTTTTTGAAGGGACTAGTTTGAAGAGACTACACTAGTTTCTCATATTCTATATTTATCTGATTTGGTTATGGTGGTAACTATAAGAGATATCCATCATAAAGGTATGTTTTTCTCTTTTCAATTACCAAGTAATCTGAGAGGATACTTTGACACCAAACAGGTATTTGTCATCCTTCTGCATTTATTCATTGGCTTACTTCTGTTTGAAAAAAAGAAAAGAGTGCTCACTTTGGGAGCACATACACTAAAATTGGAATGATGCAGAGAAGATTAGCATGGCCCCTGCACAAGGATGACCTGCAAATTTGTGAAGCATTTTATATTTTGTTAGCTGGGGCTTGGAAAAAGAAAAAAGAACTTTCTCTTATCACTGAGCATGGACCACCGTAACCAAATGATCAAACTCAGAATCAATGATAGTGGAGTGGCTTATCATTACTTGCCTTCTGATTGGATGCATTAAATTATATAGCACCACCTCTTTAATATTCTTGTCTAAATATAATATAGCTTTTAAACCTAAATTCCACTTTAATGGAAATACAGGCATGATCTCATATGAAAAAATGATTAAGGATAACTGATGAAAATAGTCTTTTTTTTTGTATTGGATCCAGCTTTAAATGAAAGTTAATGCTTTTAACTTAATCCATTTTCTATGTTCCATTTTTCAGAACATTAAAGTAAAGAGAATTTCAAATGTGAAAACCAGTAGTTCTACCTACCATCATCTTGACACTTTTGTGAATAGAGAGAGAAACACTGAACAGGTGATTGACTTAATGTTTGTGCATGTCTGTCACTTTATTATTTCTGTTCAGTGAATTGAGTCATATCTTGGATCTGTGTGTGTTGTTCACAAATCTTGAAATATGAAAAACTCTACTAACCGTAGAATAACAATGATTAAAAATTTTTTCAAATATGCTTTGAATTATGTCACGTTTAATATGAATGAGGTTTAATATGAATGAAAGGAGTTGGCTATTTGGATGGTTTTATATATATATATATTTTTTATCCTCACCTGAGGACATTTTTTGCATTTATCTTGAGAGAGAGAGAGGAGGGGAGAGAGAGAGAGAAACATCGATGTGTGAGAGACACATCAAGTGGTTGCCACCCACACAACCCCAACCGGAGCCAGGGACAAACTGCAACTGAGGTACATGCCCTTAGTTGGAACCGAACCCTGGTCTCTCTGGTCTGTGAGCCTACGCTTCAACTACTGAGCTAAACCGGCCAGGGCTGGATGGTTATATTTTAAAATAGCAATTTTACATATATACTTAATAACTTTCATGGTTGTCATTAATTATTGTTTCAACTAGTAGAATTTTAATATATAAAATACTTGAGAAGATTTTTACTTAAAGTTACATTTGGAATGTTTACCAAATATTTGAAAGTGAATGTTCAGATATAATAATACAGGTTATATGCCCCTCCCCTCTTTAGTATTATTGTTATGTTAATGAATGTTATGGCTGACTGTACAATCACATAATCATTAGTTATGCACAAGTTCTGGGAAGCCAGAAATTATATTGAAGTAGGTGTTTTTGGCTGAAGCCAAGTAGCAGAGATATTGGCTGAAAATCAGACAAATCTCATTGCTTCCCTAAATGACTTGTATATTTGGTTTCTTTTTTGTTGTTGTTGTTCAGATAGAGTGGGAGGGAGAGAGAGGAAGAGAGAGAGAGAAACATCTCGATGTGAAAGGGACACATCGAGTGGCTGCCACCCGCACGACCAACCAGGGCCGGGGACAAACTGCAACCGAGGTACATGCCCTTAGCGGGAACCAAACCCGGGTCTCTCCGGACCGCAGGCTGAACGCTCTAACCGCTGAGCCAAACTGGCCAGGGCTATATTTGGTTTCTTTGTGGGTGTTTAGCTTTCAGCATTAGCTTTTAGGATTTCTTTAACAAAAAATGAAGGAATGCGTTTGGATGAATGTAGTGCAGCGATTTTCAGTCTTTTTCATCTCATGGAACACACAAACTAAAATCATACAGCACACTGAAAAAAATATTCTTTACTGATCTGACAAAAAAAATATTTATAAATTAGATTCATATACATTGAGTGCTGTTGTTGTATTGGCTGTCATTTTTATTTGACAAACTAAGAGAAAAGAGGTCGTTGTCCCTGACTAAATGGTCAGTTATTGCATGTTTTAAAAATTCTTGCAAAACACTGGTTGAAAATCGCTGGTATAGTGTAATCTGATTTGAAATGAACAGCTTGTAAAACTTTCACTAACAATGTTACCTTTTTCATAGATACATGCTGTTGATAATTGTGGGCATTTAAAAATAACATTCTTTAATTTATATAAGTAGAAAACTATTATTTTAAAGTTGTTTTGTTTTTTATGTTATCGCTTTGTTTACATTTTTAAAATGCCTAACATGTTACTGATTAACTGCTAGCCAGATCCTCATTTGGCTGCTGAAGAAGAAGCTAAAAGACTGGAAGAAGTACAAAAACAAGCAGCAAAAGAGAGAATGGAACAGAGTGAAAAGGCACACATACGAGGTTTTCAAGCAATGAAAAAGATCCATTTGGCTCAAGTAAGAATTATATTCTGGCTGTGACCACTACTGACAGACTAACCAATAGCCTTGTGGAACTGATCAGTGAGTGGGCTCAAAGTCAGGAGGTATGAAGAATGTGAAAATACGGGCTTTCAGTCATACTACTTCAAATTTCCGAACTTTTTTTTTACCTCTTGTTTCAATCTCAGGTTGGGTGAAGCTGTTCTCAGTTACAGTATATTGCTGTTCTAAAACTTTTACTACTGATGAATTTATTAAAAGTTAAATATTTTAATCAGTTCAAGAATAGCCTGAGAAGAAATTACTAATTATTTGAATTGCATTTGTGCTCTGTAAATTTTAGGATTCAATTCATTAAATATTTATTGAGCAAAGCACTTGTTGGCTTTGCAGAGTGTTGCTTCAAAGGTGGAGTTATGGTCCTATATTGTAAAGGAGCTTTGAAAATGTGACTGTTGCAGACTTGCAACATTTATATAATGAAAACTGCCTTTATAGTGTTAGCTTCACTTCTGTCATGTCTATTCAGTGAGTGTTTTTTCTTGAAACAGCATAAAAATGATTCATCCTTTTAGAAGTCAGATTTTATGTTCGGAATTTGACACATGCATTTGGCTGCATTTTTTGTTTTTTAATTTGATCCATGGGTTGTCTAGAAGTGGTTTTATTTGTTAGGTTTATTTGTTGTGTTTTTTTTGTTGTTATTTTGTTTTATTTTTTAATTACCAAACAGGTCCACATTATCAAAAACAGAAAATGCATATAAATAGAAACAAGAAAATTATGATTTCCCATTTTGTCTCCCACAGATAACATGTCATTTTGGTATGCACACATCCAGACCAAATCCTTGTTTTTTTTCTTTTTTAAAAAATTTATCTTTATTGTTGAAAGTATTACAGATGCTTCTCCTTTTTTCCCCCATTGACACCTCCCTCCCCATGCATTTGGAATTTTTTTTTTTAAATCTTTATTGTTGAATGTAGAATGTATTACAGATATTCCACATTTTTCCCCCATTGACCCCCCTCCTCCCCACTCCCACCCCCCTCCGACCTTTTCCCACACTATTGTCTGTGTTCATTGGTTATGCATATAAGTTCTTTAGTTTATTTCTTCCCAGTCCCCAACCCCTTTCACTTTGAGGTTTGTCAGTCTAGCAATGAATTTGTACTTCTTAATCCCTTCACCTTTTTCACTCATTACCCCACCCCCCCTCCCATCTGGCAACCAACAAAATGTTCTCTGTATCTATGAGAATGTTTCTGATCTACCTGTTCATTTTGTTTGTAGATTCCATTGTCGATAGATAATGTATTCATTGCCATTTTGTTTGTTCATATATTTTATCTTTTTCTTCAAAAAGACCCTTCATCATTTCATATAATAATCCTTTACCTTTTACTTGTCTGGGAAACTCTTTATATGGCCATCGATTCTAAATGACAGCTTTGCAGGATAGAGTAATTTTGGTTGTAGGTTCTTGGTTTTCATCACTCTGAATATTTCTTGCCACTCCCTTCTGGCCTGCAAAGTTTCTTTTGAGAAATCAGCTGACAGCCTAATGGGTACTCCCTTGTAGGTAACTAGCTGCCTTTCTCTTGCTGCTTTTAAGATTCTCTCTTTGTCTTGAACCTTTTGCATTTTGATGATGATGTGTCTTGGTGTGGGCCTCTTGGGGTTCATCTTGTTTGGGACTCTCTGTGCTTCCTGGACTTGTATGTCTGTTTCCTTCACCAAGTTAGGAAAGTTTTCTGCCATTATTGTTTCAAACAGGTTTTCGATTTCTTGTTCTCGCTCTTCTTCTGGCACCCCCCAAGATGCGAATGTTGGCACGCTTGAAGTTGTTCTAGAGGCTTCTTACACTATCCTCATTTTTTTGGATTCTTTTTTCTTTTTGCTGTTCTGATTGAGCGTTTTTTGCTTCCTTATTTTCCAAATCGATGGTTTGCTTCTTGGATTTACGTACTCTATTATTGAAGCTGTGTAAATTATTCTTTATTCCAGTTAATGCCTCCTTCAATTCTGACTGTGCATCCATCATTTCTGAATGGTCCTTTTTTATGCTCTTGAGGCCCTCCCTAAGTTCACTGAGGTTCTCACTGAGTTCATTGAGTAACCTTATAAGCAGTATTTTGAACTCAGCATCTGTTAGGTTGCTTATCTCCATTTCGCTTAGTTCTTTTCCTGGGGTTTCATTCTGTTCTTTCTTTTGGGACCTGTTTCTTTGTCTCCTCATTTTGGCTGCCTCCCTGTGTTTGTTTCTGTGTATCACTTAACGAGCGGTATGGGGCTGAGACCAGATACTGCTCCTTTGAAATAATTTAGGAAAAACCTGAAGCAGGATCCAAGACAGGACAATCCTATGGTTAAGCAAGTGGCAACAGCTTGGGTGGGTCTGAAAGTTGGGTGGGGCGGGGCGGGGCCTTAGGGAGTCACCAGGGCGGGGCTACCAGTGTGAGCCAGGTTGCTGGATTCCCAGATATGGCGACTGTCTGCCGCCCCAGGGAAGGGCTCACCAATGGAACAAAGGCCTCTGACAGCACATTGGTCCCGGAGAAAGCCCCCTCTCCAGCCCTCGCTCCAGTGCCAAACAGCTCAGTTCTTCTCTGTATGTCTCTGGCACCCCTCGAGCTGCCTCCCCTCCAAGCTTAGAGGGAGAGAGTCCGATAAGTCCGTGCGCGGGCCCTTTAAGGAGCTGCCTGGGGCTCCAGCCGCCTCAGCCTCCCTGAGCCTCAGTTCCCGCTGGTTTTTCCAGCCAGAAGTTATGGGGACTTCTCTTCCTGGAACTGGAACCCTGAGAGGGGCACCTGGTGTGGGACGGGGACCCCTCAGTCCTCAGGGAGGACCTTCCTAGCCGAGGTGTCCTCCTGATTTTTATCCGCCACACGTGGGTGTGGCACCAGTCCGTCTCGCCACCGCCCCTCCTACCAGTCTGGATGTGGCTGCTGCTTTAATTCCGTAGTTGTAGGACTTCCATTCAGCTTGATTTCAGGCGGTTTTGAATGATGGTTGTTCTGTAGTTCAGTTGTAACTTTGATGTGGTTGTGGGAGGATGCAATACCGCGTTTACCTATCCGCCATCTTGACCGGAAGTGTGCATTTGGAATTTTTAAATGCTCATCTGAGGGAGTTTTTCTATGAGAATTAAACGCCTGTCTTTTTTAAAAATTAATTTTACTAGACATTGGTAAAATGCCTGTTTTATTAAAAAGTTAATTTGTATAGTTTGAACTGAAATACAACCTTCTTCCTTAAATGTTTAGCCTTTATAAACTGGGAGTAAACTATGACTAAAGTAACTAAATGTCTGAATTAGTATCAGTAATTCTCATCTAAGGCTTATACCTATAGAAAAAAATTGTGAAAACATCAGAAACCTGGGCACTTCTCCACAAATCAGTAGTGTCTAGTGAAGTATGCGGATTCCACTGTTGGCCAGGATTTTTGTCCCCTCACTCCTTAGCTGTTTGATCTCAGGCAGGTTATCTAACCTCTTTGAACTCTGTTTCGTCATGCTTTATGAGTATTAAAAGCCTCTAGAATGTACCTGGAATTTCATAAGCTCACAGTAAATGTCACTGGTAGTAGTAGTTGCTGTTATAAAAAATTCAAGTAGCAAAATATGCCAAGCTTTCAGTGATCCGGGAATAATTCTGTAGTTAATTAAATGAGATGATTTGAAACTTAATGTAAATGAAAAGAATTTGTTCACAATTTGATTCTTTTTCAAAGTATGGCAAAAAAAAAAAAAAATCATCACTAAGTAAGAAGATATTTAAAACTTTACATAAGAACAAGTAGTGTGTGTGATCACTTGACAAATGCTTTGTTATACAGGCTGTCCACCTTTTTTGTAGACTTAGTGTCTCTTACACAAAAATGTCATCGAAGCCATGCAACCTCATTACTATTACAGCATTTCCTTTCCCCTGTCTGAACCTTTGTGATGTAGACCAAATGTGCCCGGGGACCTTATTTACCACTAGTGTCTATTGTAACTTGTGTTTGACCTCTACTTACCTCTTCAACTTTATCTTTTTTTACTTGAATACCCCGTGCCTTCAATTTCATATCTTTGTGCTTTTGTTGTTCTTTCTTTCTTATATTCCTTCTCTTTCACCCACTTTTATCTGGCTGTATCCTCATCCCAAGGAATCAGAGGTCTTCTCTTACACCCTCTCCCTAGCCTCCATCACCAAAGTTTTATTAGATAACTTCATTGAAACTCTTGCTTAAGCTTCCAAATCAGCCAGACTTTTTTTTTTAATTCTCACCACTGATATGCTTTTACTGATTTTAGAGAGGAGTGGTGTAGTGATGTGGGGGAAAACAAACATCGATCAGTTGCCTGCTGATGCAGCTGGACCAGGGATCAAACCCATAACATTTAGGTGTACAGGACAATGCTTCAACCAACTGACCCACCCAACCAGGGCTAGCAAGACTCTTTAAGCTTAGAGAGATAATATACACCCCCTTTAATCATGGTGATTCCTAAGAGTATGAAGTAACAAGTTAAGCCATAGTGGCTCTGGGTCCTGGTGCTTACCTGAGACTGGTCTGCACTGCTGTCTACGCGGAGGACTATTACAGAGCACATTGCAGGAGCCATGGCACTTATATAGAGCCTAACTTCTTGACTATCCCGAGAAAGGAGGACTGTAACTGGCAGATACTTTTGGAGCTTCGTGCCGTGATCAGTACCACCCACCATCTTAGAGTACTTACTAACAGAGTACTAATTCCCTTTTGTTGGTGTCTGGGTTAGGGGTGAGATTGTATCTGGCATTCAGTAAATATTTTGCTGGATGAATTAGTTAATGTCTTTTAGTGGCATAACAAATGGTAGAGGAAGGAAGGGAACCCCTGGCCCCATTTCTCATGATTTCTCCACTTTGCCTTCACTGTTAATGTTACTATCCAAAGTTTGTGACTCAGCTGTTGTTAATTAATTCTCTTTATTCTTGAAGAATCAAGAGAAACTAATGAAAGAACTCAAACAGCTACAGCAAGAGGACCTGGCACGTAGGAGACAGACTGTAGCTCAGATGCCACCACAACTAGTTGCACTTCCCTACAAACGCAGTGAAATGAAGGAAGACTGGCAGAGAGAGCTAGAATTTGCCTTTGAAGACATGTACAATGCAGACAGGAGTAAGATATTTTCAATAAACTTTCAATGATGCTTTTAAATGTTTTGGTGGGAAAATACACTTGTATTGATGAAGCAGTTTTTATTTTTAAATGAGTTTTCTGTTTGAAAGAGGACCTCATATTTTACATGTAGAAACTGTATGGCATTTAAATTTTTATGCTCAAGTTCTTTTTAATCATTTTGGAATGGAAACATGTCTCTATATTTCTTTATTGAGAGGTGAAAGGAAACCTGATTTTGCACCTTGAACCGGAGCCTTTGCCCACTGTGACTGATCAGATCCAAGATGAAGAACTGGACATTTCAATGGAACAGGAGAACTTAGGTGAAACTGAAAACCCTCCAGTGACAGAAGCTGAAAGAATATGTTCTAGTGAAGCAGACGGTAAAATCTTCAGAATTAAATATTAATAGTGTTTCTTAGAACAAAATGCTAATCATTCACCAACAGTTAGAAAAGCCTGGTCCAATTTAAGTGCAAACAGTGACTAATGCTAACAGGAGTGATGGAAGGAGGGAACAGTATTTACAGATTTCCATTATTTATTTTATTTTATTTTATTTTTTTTATCCTCACCCGAGGACATTTTTCCATTTTTTGTTCAGGTAGAGTGGGAGAGAGAGAAACATCGATGTGAAGGGACACATCGAGTGGCTGCCACCCTCACGACCGACCAGGGCCGGGGACAAACTGCAACCGAGGTACGTGCCCTTAGCGGGAACCGAACCCGGGTCTCTCAGGACCGCAGGCCGATGCTCTAACCGCTGAGCCAAACCGGCCAGGGTTACAGATTTCCATTATTGAAGACCCTTTTCATATACATAGGAAGAAAATTCTTTTATTCATATGTACATATAGTCTGAAGATTTTTAGGTTATTTGATTTAGATGCTTAATTCTGAATTCATTTCAAAGGTCATTTTTAAATACTTTCATCAAACACCAAAGAGATCCTACATGTTAATTATGGCTAGGCACTTCATGTGTAATGATGAATAGCACACACTTAGATCAATCTTCTAAACTTCATCTCTGTCTCTACCATTCTAAACCTTTTCACTGGGCTGCCCCACGGGTACTTAAAACTCAGTGTCTTAACAGTAAAATGATCTTCTCTTGACTTCTGAAATCTTGTCTGCCTGTCTTCCTGATCCTTAGTAAATGATACCACATTCTGCAGTTATCCAAACCAGACCAATGCATTGCCTTTAACACCTTCCTCTTTTTTATTTTATAGCTCCTTAGAGATCAAATCCTCTTCATTTTGACCTCTGTTTACCCTCCCTCCCACATCTACAAGTATGGCCTTTGTTCAAAACCACTTAAACTTTCTCATCATTTCCACCCTGCACTGTAGATAGGTAGCCCTTTGGGCTTCCAACTTTATGTGGGTCTCCTGTTAGATCCACATAAGAACTCTAGGCTTTATTCCTGCCCCTAGGCCCACACTGCTGTCCAAACCAAGTGTAAGGTTATTGTAGTTTGGCACAACTTCAGAGGATGGATGTACTTACCTTTCAGAATTCCCACTTAAGCTTCATTTCTGGCCTCTGCAGAATCTTTTATTTCCTTGCCAGATCAGCAGTGCCTTTAAGAAGATACTTTACTGTTTCATCCACCTCTTTTAGTTGTTTTCATTGGGAATATCTTCAGGTCTGTAGTTTCTCAGGTTGCAACGCTTGCCTTATCTAAAGGGACAGTTGTCTTCAGCTCTTGCTGATTCCATTTGGGATTGCTGGCTTAGTGTTGCCAACTCTTGATTTTTCAAAAGAACCTAGGAATACTCTTGTTTTTAAGGTTCTTATTTTTAAATATTGGCAGTTACTTTATTTCTTAAAAGTGAGTGAGTCACAGACTAGTACTGAGTAAAAGAAGCCAGGCAGAAAGAATGCCTGAGTATAATTCCATATGTATATGAAGTTAAAGGGAAAAATAGGCAAAACTAATCTGATCTCAGGGTAGAATAATGGTTATCTTTAGGGGTGTATTGCCTGGAAGGGGCATGAAGGAGTTTTCTAGGTGCTAGAAATGTTTCACGTAACTATCTGGATGGTGTTACATAGACAAATGTAAAATTCACCAAGCTGAACACTTAGGTTTTGTATACTTTATTGTTTGTAAGTTATAACTCAGAAAGTTTAAAAAAAAAAAGTGGGTCAGACAAAACTTCAGTCTCCCAGTTTTCATCCTCCATAGATTTCTGAAATTTTATTAAGTCAGAGAACTGTATTTGAAACACAGTTCTGTCACTTTAGAGAACTATTAGTATTATACTGAGTTTTGGCATTGTACTATCAGCCCGTGTAGAAGGATGTTTTGAGGAAACAACTTAAGAATTTAACTATAGGGATCTCTTTATGATGATGTGGGAGAATTTTTCCCAGATGGTACCAGGAATGATTTGGGAACACTTGATTTGTTTTTAAGATTATAGCAAGTAATGTTTTTCGCTGTAGTCTACCAAGTACAGAGTCATAGTTGGGACCCTTCTTTTGCAGAGAGTGTAGAACCTTACAGCATATATTTTCAATGTTAATGTCACAAATTAAGAGCTGTGCATTTTATCACCATTTAGTAAGCAGAATAAACATGTTCCTGATATGTTTTCAAGCTTCAAATTTGTGTTGAATGCATATTGTTGGGAAATGCTTTAATTTTGGTGTCTTCATTTAAATTTAAGTTTAAAAAAATCTGTGATTGGATTTGACTAACATTGTACATACTGTTAAGTTATAAATAGTGAGGAAAACAAAGTTGTGGTTTGTTTTAGCTAGTAGTTGGAGCCGTAACTATGCCTACAGATAGAATTATTTACCAGGTATATAATAGGTGCTGAATACGTTCTTTTTGTTTGTTTTGTTTTGTTTTGTTTTTCAGTTCCCTTGGCAATGAAGACCCAGGAGCTTCCTTCAAAAATTCTTTTTAAAAAATTATTAAATAAGATCCGAAACCAAAAATCTCTCTGGACAATTAAATCCACGTCTGAGGATGAAAGTGAAATGATTACTACTGTTAGTGAAACTGAGAGTAGTAAAGCACCAGCAACTGAGTCAGAAACCACGGCTATTGAAGAGGGCACGTTATCCTCTGGGCAGGAGCAAGGTGGGTCTGTCCAGGAGTCTCATTCTGTAGTTGGTACACCCTTTCTCAGTTACTGAAAAATATGCTCATGCCTGAAAAAAATCAAAGAGTAGAGGTTAAAAGCAAGAAACATTTTAGAGCCTATAATGCTGCTACTTAAAGGCAATGAATATTTAAAGACCTTTAGTGACTCTCCTTCCAGACCACTTTCATTATAGTAATATTACATCTATATCTATATCTATCTATCTATCTATAGATAGATAGATAGATAGATAAAATCCAATGTAGTTGATGAACCAAAATTAATCAGTTTCCTGTTGTTGAGACGTTTGGGCTATTTCTAATTTTTCTTGTTACATCTTATGCTGCATTGAGCATTTATCAAAGTCTTTACCCATATTTGTAATTGTTTCCTTAAGAACAACTCCTGAAAGAATTAAAGGAGATGGACATTTGAACAGCTTTTGAGTGTACCATGTTGTGGGCTTATACTTAGAATTTTATCTTCTGGATATTTTTTTAAAATGCGATTGGGTTTATATGACAATGGATTTTGCCTCAAGTACAACTGGAAGCCTTCTTCACTTAACCTCTTGAGCCTGCCCACTCTTGGTTTTTCCATCTCACTGGCTTCTCCTTCATGGTTTCCTTTGCTGCTTACCCTGCTCCCTACAACCACTAGTCATTGCCCCAGAGCTTGTTTCTCAAATCTTTTCTCTTTGTATCAACACTTCCTAGTTGATCTCTGAAGTCCTGATTTACCATCTATGTACTGATGGCTTCCAAGGGTGTCATTCTAGGCTTGGCCTCTCCTTGGAACTCCACTCATTTAAATGTCTATTTGATATCTTCCGTGTATAGCTAATCACACCTTAAACTTTCCCAAACCTGAACTCTTGATGTCCCCTTCCACCCTCACCTGCTTTTTCTACAGTCTTCTATATTTCAATAAGTGGTAGTAAAATTGTCTTTCTCAAGCCAAAAAGCTAGTTATTCTGGTCCCTCTCTTTTATATCCTACATCTGAACCATTAGCAAATCCTGTTGGTCCTACCCTCAACATGTATTCAGAGGTCAGCCATTTCTCACCACCTACCATCCTACTTTAATCCATGTTCATTCTCTAGTGTAGATCCTTGTAATGAATTCTCAATTGGTCCTTTATTTTCCGTTTTTGTACCTCCCTACTACGTTCTCTTCCCAGGCTCATCCTGTTAAAATGCACATCAGCTCATATTATTCCTCTGCAGGAAGCCTTCCAACAACTGCCTGTTTCACTCAGTAAAAACCAAAGTGCTTATAGTGGCATCAAAGCCTTATCAAAGTCTGCACACACGTCCCTCCCCCATCATTTCTCTCACCCTCACTCTCTGACTTCTGTTGCTATACCTCCCCCAACCAGAGGCTCTGGCTTCCTTGGTATTCGTAACACAGCAAAGATGACTCACATGGTCTTTGCAGTTGCTGGTCTTTCTGGCTAGAGCACTCTTGGATATTCTGATGACTTACTCTCTCCCTTCCTTCAGATATTGGCTCAGATACCACTTTCTCAGTATGGCTTTCTATTACCACTCTATGTAAATCGGCAAGCTTCTACCTGCCCCTCCTTCACTCCCTATCTCCTTTACTCTGTTTATTCTCTATATCTCTCATCAACATCTGATGGACCATACGTTTACTTTTTTGTTTATTTGTTTCTTATCTTGATACTTATCCTGAGTACCCTCCAATCCCACAATATAACCTCCATGAGGGTAAGAACTTGATTTTGTTCATTGCTGTATCCCAGAGCCTAGACTAGTGCCTTGTACATAAAAGGTGCTCAGTTAATATTTGTTCAGTTCAGTGAATAGCTTAAAACAAGAAGGGTAAGTTTGGAAGTCAGACATATATATAATAAAGCCACGGGTATGAAATACTCTTAGGAAAAGAATTCAGTGAGAAGAGGGCTTATAAGACCATGAGGGACTCCAGCTTTTAGAAGATGGCTAGAGAACAGCAAAGGCAATACAAAGGAGTGGCCAACAAAGTTGTAATAGAAGGGGGCTCTCATTTCAATTCACAAGCAGGTGGTTTTGAAAAAGCCCCGTATGGGTAGGCTTTTCTCTAGTCTCCTGTGGCTTCTTTTTTCTCCTTGTTTATACCCATGTACATTGTTCCTCTTTCAGTTTCCTGAATGAGACAAATTGTTTTCATCCTCACAGGCTGTTAATACCTGCTTATCAGGCTGATTCTTCCTTACCTTTCAGGTGTCCGCTTGTCGTTTCCTAAGAGAAACCTTATTCAAGCCCCTAGTCTAATTCAGATTCCCCTGTAATACTGTACTGCAAAACCTTTTATTTCTCTTATACAGTACTTATCATAGTTTCTAATTTTATGTATTTTTTCTAGGATAATTATAATGTTCCCCACTCACCCTGTAAAACCTCCTTGAGGCCATTTCTTATTTACCACAGTGTCCCCAACATGCAGCACTTCATTAGGTACTGAATGAGTAAGTGTGTGAATGAATGAATGCTTGACGCAGGTTTCTGGCTACCGTGATATGATTGCTTAACTTTCTTCTCTGCTCTGGTTTCATAAATAATAAAAATTGTAATGTCTAAATCTGTCAAAGATACATTTACATTTCTTTAGCTTCTCTTTTAAACTTTTGTGCCTTGCTTATTTTCCTTTTATGCTTTTCCATTGTGTTTGAAGATGTCAGCATGCCTTCTTAATGGTTCTCCTTCATTTTTTCCTTTTTGTTTACAATTTTAGTCTTCCATCTGTCTTCTTAAATTAGGCTCTAGTTTAATGTATAAAATATATGGTCATCTGGAAGGTTACTGGATCTTAAATAAGACATTCAAGTGAACCAAGATTGAATTGTTAATTTGAAGGCAGATTTTTGTTACTTCGTTAAGATTTAAGCTTAACAGTGATAATATATTCATAATAATGTATCTATTACAGTTGAAAGCGATATGCTGACAATTGACTCTGGACCACTTACTAGTGAAGATCAACCAATTTCATGTGATGCAGACTCTAAAAAAGAACAAGGTATTTCTTTTTATTTACATCCTCAAATTAAACTTGCTTGGCTCTTCAAATCCTTTCCTAATAAAATTATGTGTAATGAATGAATCATTAGAGTGGTGTCAAAATTCTAAGTTATTAAAACTAATTTTTGTTTTGGGGACCCTCTTAGAAATAAATGAGACCCAGCCTTGCACAGCTGTAGCTCAGAGTTCAGTTCTACTGCATCCTCAAGAAGAAGCAGCCAGAATTAGAATGGCAGCAAGACAGAAACAGGTAATTTGAAATTTTTATTTTAAAGGTTTTTTTTTTTTCTTCTCCTAGGTACTATAATTTTGTTTGGCAAGTGACGTTTGTCTTACTGTCTGGCTACATTTGATACCATTTACTATATATTGACTTACACATTCAGCTGGTAGAAGGCACCTCATCCTCATATGTACTACTCATTTGACTTTTACAGCTTCTGCTTTGTATTTTATACCTTTATATATTTATTATCTTCCCTATAAAATTTACCAATCTTTTAAAGTTGGAGACTTTTTAAAAAATTTAATTTATTCTACATAATTTCTAGTGCAATGCCTTATGCATAGTAAGTGTTCAGTTTATTTGAACTCATTTATTTGTTGAATAAATGAGTCCCTGTCAAAATGTTGGATACTCAGCCAGGCTTTGTAATCTTTAAAGTTTTTTTGAAAAGTAGTATTTCAGAAGAAAAATTTAAATTCAACCTCCTTAACTATGATTTTGGTCCCATATACTTCAGTAAAAGATTTTTTTAAATACAAATTACATTGAAAGAGGCTGGTTATTACTAAGCCAGTCAGTTTATAATCATTTTTATAAAAAATATAGCTGGAAAGGTAAATTCTATGAGCCAGTGTTTCTTTTCAGATAAATGTTATTTCATCAATATTCTAAAGCAGTGTTGTCCAATAGAACTTCCTGTGGTAATGAAAATGTTCCATAGCTGTGTCTAGTATGGTAGCTGCTAGCTCCATGGGCTGTTAAATACTTGACATATGACTGGTGTAATGAAGGAACTGAATTTTAAATTCTATTTAATTTGAATTAATTTACATAGTCACATGTAGCTAGTGACTTCTGTATTGATAATGCTGTTCTGGAGGTACTACGGAACTGTAAACAGCTAAATTCTGTGGCTCCTATCAGAGGGAAAGAAAGAAAGATGAAAATAGGAACTCAGTATAGCCTGATTAATTGTTGATATTAACTATTGCCTGTGTAGAAATAGGTACAGCTTCATATTGAGTCATATTTTTGTTTTGAAAACAAGATCATCTTTTGTTACCTCTTATAAAAAAAGTGTTCCTCTTAGTAAAACTTCATATACATTCGTTTTCCTATTTGTTCAGTAAATATTATGTATCAGAGACTTCACTGGGTGCTACATTAAGCTGGCAGCCAGACTAGTTCAGTCCCTGTCCTCATGAAATGTAGTCACTGACATATGTTCTTATTACTTGGATGTGTGTGTATGCTGGTGTAATATTAGAGTTTAGGTGTCAGCCCTGTGCCATTGTCTGACCATCTGTTTCTCACTGCATTACTATTTGGCTTCTAGATAACTGCACCCCTTTATGGATATGCTTGAGAAATCACAGTTGATTTGGGGAGGCCTTGACATTTGATTTCTTTGTCATTTCTTACTGAGCACGTTAACGATGTGAATACAGAATTTGGCTGAGCATTGTTTGCTACTTCTCTGGTGGTGGGTCTTTAGTGGTGGTCAAGGTTTCCCTGTACTCCTAGGAAATAGAATAGTGTGTTTCTTTTTTCTTTTTTCTGCCTCTTTTTAAATTCCCTTTTTCTCCTTGCCTCTTCTCCCCATCTCACTTCTTTCTTCCTTCTGGGAGAGGAGGCAATACCAGATAATCTTCTAGGATAATTGGTAGTGTTGATGATAATACCTGTTCCTTTTCAATGTAATTGATACTGTAAGCTTTTCTTTTGTGTGAGTTTGTTGTTAATAGATCGATAGTTTTTTTTGTTACTTAGATAATGGAAATAGAAGAGCAGAAGCAAAAGCAATTGGAATTACTTGAACAAATTGAACAACAGAAGTTAAGATTAGAAACTGATTGCTTCAGGGCTCAGCTGGAAGAAGAAAAAAGGAAAAAAACTCAACAAACTGAGGTAGGATATGGGAAAATATCTCTATATAGGTCACTGGGGGATAAGAAAATATAAACAGTCTTAGCATTTAGAAAAGTAAAATGCATTTCTAATTCGTATTTGGTAATTTTTATTTTAATAATGCACACACGTGTGCACACACACACACCAAGTTTATACAAACCTAATGGCTTTCATCTTTTAGATGCCAGTGTATGTGACTATAATTTGCATGTAATGGGTATGTTGAGTTCTTGGACTTGGTTGGCACTAAAAGAGAATGATGGATGGCTTTGTTTCTTTGTTTCAGTCTTTTTTATAAAAATAAATAAAGCTATATGAAAGTTAATTATAGAACTTCAGTTCATATTAAATACTTGAGCACTTGTTTCCGGATTTGCCTTTTAATTAGTAGCTTTGTCTTATTAGGTTGGCACTGCTCCAGCATCATGCTCCGTGAGTACTGATGAAGATAGTCATAGACAGATGATTCGCAACTATCAGCATCAGCTTTTACAGCAAAAGAGGTATTGGCTAGGGTACAATTCATGTGTTATAGTGTGTGGCTACATCTTCAGGGTTTATTATTTATATGAAAATCTGATCAGAATTCCCTTAGCGTTATGGCATATATATTTCTCTATGGGCAGTGTGAAAACATTGTTTCTTTTCCACTGTGGTTCTGGCCAGTCCTAGATTGCTATTGAATTTAATGTTATCGATATTTGAGAATATAGGGCTTTTTTTTTTTTTAATTAAAAAATAAGACTTTGTTTTTGTGTTTATTTTTTTTGTAGGTTTCATAGACAGTCTGTTGAAATAGCCAAGAAACAATTACTTGAATATCAGACTATATTAAAAGGAAAGTACCCATCCATGTCAGCTGCATCATTAATAACTGATTCTGTTGTATCTGTCCCACCATGGAAATCTGAAAGACCCACTTTTATATCAGAACATTGGCATCAAGGTCAGAGACCCAAGTTGAGTCCTCACAAATATCAATCTATACAACCCATACAGATACCCAGAGTAGAACAGCCATATTTTCAGGTTCCAAGACAAAATCATTTTCCACAAAGACAAGTAGAAACAACAGAAACAGATGTTTTAGCCAAGAAATGTTTGGAATCACAAGAACAGCCAAAGCTGTTTTCACAGACTGAAATACAGCAGAGAGACTGTACATCTGTTCCTAAAGATTCTCAAATATTTTCAAGGGCTTTATCACATGATAGGCCACTGGTATTGCAGCATGCTAGTGAAGTAACTAGAACTTTAGACTCCCAGCAGATGTTCTTAGAGAACAATGAAAATACATTTTCTGAGCCTACTGAACCTTCTTCATTCTTACCACTGGTTGCTAAACATTCTTTTAGTTCTCTGCCTGGTAAAGTTGAATCTGGAAAAATCCAGGAACCCTTTTCAGCCATGAGCAAAAGTGTAGTCTCTGTAAGCCATTCTGCAATCAGCCAAATGCACGCTAAGCCTTTGCCACCCTCAGAGAACATCACAGCTCAGCAATGTAATTTGAAGGTTCTCCAAGAGCAATTAGACCTACATAAGGAAGTTCTTCGGTCCAGACAGGAAGCCCAGGAACAGTTGCTTTTGGGCAAACAAAAAGAATTGGAAGGACAAACTGGCATCTCTGTGTTTCTTCCATCAGTACCTCTCGATTCGTTTGTTTCACTGCCTTCTGCCAAAGCTCAATCTGGGAGAATCCAGGAATCTTCTTCATCCAAGAATGATACCACAGTTTCTGCAGGCCATCCTGAGGTTCCACAACCGCAGGATAGGCCTTTGAGTTTTTCACAGCAAGATCATTTTAAATTTCTTAAGGAACAGTTAAATATTCAGAGGGACGGCCTTCAGGCCAGGCGGGAAGCCCAGGAAGTATTACGTGTAGATGAACAGAGTGAGCTGGATGGAAGTGTATGGGCTGAACAGACTGAGCCACCTTCTCTTCCATCTCAGGTAGCTCAGCATACATTTACTTCATTAGTTTCTGCTGGTACCCAGTCTGGAAAAATCCAGGAGCAGTATTCATCTAAGAGTAAGGAGGGGCTTCTCTCAAGCCAATCTGAAATCCCCAAATCTCAGGATGGCTCGTTGAGTTTCCTGCAGCAGTTCCTACCTTTACATGATAGCTTGAAGTTGCTCCAGGAGCAGCTGACTGCACAGAGGAATGCTCTTCAGGCCAGGCATGAAGCCCAGATGGAGTTACTTTTACACAGACAAAGGGGTTTGGGGAGCACTAAGTTGGGACAGATGAGTTTTTCATTCCCACCAACAGTTGCTCAGCGTTCCGTTGCTTTGCAAACTTCTGCTAAAACAGAGACTGAAAGAATTCAGAACCTTTATTTGTCTGACAAGGAGAGTGCTATCCCCGCAAATCACTCAGTAATCCCGACATTTAGGGATGCGTCTCTCAGTTTTCCAGAGCATAGCTTGCCACAGCAAGAAAATTTGACAACACTCCAAGAACAGTCACATATTCAGAGGACTATAATTGGTGCTAAACAAGAAGCTCAGGAATTTGTACACAATCAAAGGGAATTAGATAAAGGAATTTCTTCCGAACAGACTGGCTCCTCTTTATCCTTATCCCGGGTAGCTGAATCTGAAAAACGCTGTGAATTCCTGTCAAGTGACAGTGTGGGTCCCTTAAGCCATTCCAATATCCCAAGATTTCATGAAAGATGTCTGAGATCTTCACAAGGAAATTTGGAGGAACACCAAGAATGGCTAGACACACAGGAGGCCCTTCGCTTTAGCCAGAAAACCCAAGGAAATATATCTTCTAAACAAACTGGTCCCTCCTCATTCGTACCCCAGTTAGGACAGCTTTCATTTACTCCATTACCTTTTGAATCTGGTACAACCCAAGAACCTCTTTCAACAGAGAGTGACGGTAAACTTCCTTTAGGCCATTTTCAGATCCCACAGTTGCAGGATAGGCTTTTGAGGATATCACAACTTATCCAGCCTCAACAAGATCATTTGAAGGCACTTCAAGAACGGTTAGCTGCACAAAGGGAAGCCATTGTTCAGTCTAGACAGGAAGCCCAGACCGAACATAAAGAGAGTGAGCCAAGGGAAGGACTATCTCCTGAGCAGATTGGCACCTCTTCCTTCTTACCCCTACGTGTACAACATCCATTTGCTTCATTACCTCTTAGTAAATCTGATAGAATCCAAGAAACTTGCCCAATTAAGAATGATAATATAGCCTCCTCACATTCTGAGATACCAAGATTGCCTGATCGTCTTTTGGGCTTATCGCAGCCTGTTTTATCTCCACAAGTTATGTTGCCCGTGCAAAATAAATTTGAGGAAAAGGTATCTTCTGAACATTTTATTCAACCTCACCATCATGATTTGGTGGTACTTCAGCAGCAGTTAGATATGCAGAAGGAAGCCATTCGGTTTAGACAGGAAGTCCAAGAAGAATTCCTTTCACGAAGACTAAGTAAATTGGAGAAAGGGGTATCATCTGAACAGGTTAGCTCCTCTTCAGCCTTATCTCAGGTAGCACTGCCTCTTGACTCTGAAAGAATCCGAAAGTCTTTTCCAACCCAAAGTATCAATACAACTCCCCTAAGTCATCCTGTAGTCCCCAGATCACAGGATAGGCTTTTGAGTTTCTCACAGCCTGTTCTGCCTCAGCAAGTTCATATGACAGCACACTTGGACTTGCAAAGGGACGTGGTGCGCTCTGGTGAGAAGGCCCAGGAAGAACTGCTTTTAACCAAAAGAAGTGAGTTGATTGAAAGTGAATCTTCTGAGCACATGGTTCCCTCTTTGTTACTACCCAAGGAAAGAGAGCCTTCATTTATTCCACTACCTTTTGCTGAAGTTAAATATAAAGACATTTGTGAATTGGATTCATCCAAGAATGAACATGCAGTTCCTTCAAGCAGTTCTATGATCCCAGAATTTCAGCATAGACTTTTGAGTTTTTCACAGCCTAACTTGGCTCAGCAAGATAACTTGGGACTTCAGAAGCCGTTGGATCTACAAAAAGCCCAGGAAGAGCTGCTACTACAGAGACAAACAGCATTGCAGCAGCAGATACAGAAACACCAAGAGACTTTGAAGGATTTCTTTAAAGATAGTCAGGTATGTATTAAACTTGAGTGTCTAAGAATTAAACAGTGGAGTTAACCCAAGTCAGACAAGCTAAATGTTTTCATTTTAGGCCTAAATAAGTTCTTTGTTATTGAGAATAAGCAGCTTGACCTTCACTGCTTTAATTTTCTACCTTAAACAATATGGAAATAAAAATATAAATGTTGCCTTACCCGGTGTTTATAAGGTTAATAGTTATTTGAAGCCCAACTAATTTCAGCCAGTAGTTTGATACAACCAAATGCAAACACTTTTAAAAATGTAGATTGCCATTTAAAGTTTTATTATAAAGGATTTTGAGCTTACCAGAAGATTAAATTGTAAAATAACTGGTTAACAGATTTTCTCTTCTACAAATAGCAGACCTTGTGTTTCTATGTAGCACTGTTTTTGACATTAGTATGTAAATCAAAATCAGTTCCTCTTTTTCCTTAAATGACAATATTAACGCCTGTTGTAAAATTGGCATGATTTCAGGCTGATGGACAACTGGACCTGCAGCTTGTCACTGAATTATAGAGAAGAATGGCACGGCCATGCAGACATTCATAGTTTCTCTGTATGGGGGAGAGAAGACTATATTCTCCTAAATATGAATGTGTCCATTTTACTTTAAAAGGCTATTTTCTAAATTTATGACTTGGCCTATGTAGAAGTCTGTAAATCTTTGATGTTCAGAAAAAGCTTGAGCTGAGTCTGTGAGAAATTGAGTCCTAGGAATTTACTAGTCATCTGAAGGAAAAGTAATGGGAAAAGAAAGCAGAGAGGGATACTCAAAGTCTCTTATTGAAATGTACAGTGGAGGCTAAGTTTTTAGGTCGAAGGCTGTGAGTGGTTATACCTTCCAGTGGAAATATACCACCCTTTCAGTATTAGAGGTCTTTCTCATTTTTTGTATGTGGATAAAGTTGTAATAGTGTGGTTGATGGAACTGTTTATTTGGTTGAGGTTCTAGTTTAAGAGGGAGATATAAATCTAATGATTCCTTATCCTGTCATTCTCACCCTCTTCTGTCCACTGTGTCAGACAAGTAAACCCAGTCTTGAAAATGACTTAAAACCCCAGATGTTCAGAGAGTGGCTTCCTCATCTCCAAGGCCACAGAAGAGACGATCATGGAAACATTAGTCCTGCGGATAGGAGCAACTCTGATGATAATCAGCTGCTTTCAGAAGGTAGTAGTACCAAGAGGAGTGTTAATATAATTGGATTTTATTGTAATTATGCTGCTGATTATTCTTTGCTTCCACTTCCTGCAACTTGCTGGTTAAAGAGAAATTTGTAGTATGTTATTAGATTATATTCTGCCTAACTTTATTATTGACTTGATAGGTGAGCATCTGAATAAACAACTGGGTAGGAGAGTCTCAAAGCCACCTGTAGCAAAAGTTAAGTGTGGATTGGACTTGAACCAACATGAACTTAGTGCTATACAAGAGGTAGAATCACCAGCAGCAAGTGGCAGACCGTCATTACTAGGTAAACAGATGGTTTGATAAAAATACATTTTTAAAAATAATTTGCTAGTTTTTTGAGGATGCTAATTATTTGTTGTTGAAGAAGCCTGGCTGTGAGTACTTGTGGAAAGAAAAAAAATGATTTATATAAACAGTATATAAAATTTAGACTTAAAGAAATGTGGCATTAGGTGACTATTTTTTCTTATATATGGATTAAAATTAATTTACTTTAGACAAAAATTCTTTACTATCCCATATTGACACTCTTACTTTCCTCTGCTTCCTTTAATGTCTGCTTTCTAAACCTGTTTCTTTCTTAGTTTTTTTCTCTTCCCTTGTTGCTTTTCTACTTCCGTACCTTCATTTTTCTTTTTCTCTAGCTTTTATAGGATAAGTATTATGCTTAAAATCCTGGCTCTAAGGATAGTTAGCTATATGTCTTCACTGTACTTCTTCCTAAAACCAGTTATCTAGAAAAAGTCCTCTCTGAGATACTTAGTAAATAGCCCTATTTGAATTTCATAATTATTTTTAGATTTCAGACTCACCAGATAGTTTTCCTGATCAAATTAAAGTAGATCCTTTTTTAGGATAGAAATTAGCTTTGTCAAAAGAAAGGCATGTGGAAGTATAATGTTAATATTAATTATTTTGCTCTTTAGCCATAAAGTATTGTATTTTTGTTTCTGGTTGAAAGAATTAAGGTAGAGATTGAGAGTAATTCTTAAACATTAATCTTACTGCTTTCTTATTATGTCTTATGGAACTTAAAACATAGAGTAATGATTTTATTTACTACTAGGTTTTGGAAGTTTTCCTTCTGTTTTGCACTATTTGGCAAGCCATGACTTCAGGGACTGATGCTTTTTCTAATTCAAAATGAACATTGGGAAATTCTCACCATTGACTCCTGTAACTGATTATTGTTTCATGTTTCGTAATGGCTTCACGTCTAAAAGGGAAAGCTTTTTACTCTTCCCTCACCTCCACCTCCTCATCCTTCAGCCTTCTTTTTTCAGTGAATAGTACCCAGGTGTATGTTTTGACACTCCCCTGTCTACCTCTCTGACACCAGTTTATCTCAGTTCCGTTAGGTCAGCTCTGGCCCCTGTCCACTTCTTTCCATTCCCACTGCCACTCATTTAATTCAGGCCCTCATTTCTTTCTTGAACGGCTGCCACACGTCCCAGTGTCTCCCTGGTTCCAGTCTAGCTTTAGTTCATTTTCCCATGATATATTCAGAGTAATCTCCCTGTATTCCCCCTATTTAAACTCATCAGTGGTTTCACCTTGATTCAAGGAATAAGTTCCAATTAAGTTGTGTCCCTAGCTTCACCTACCAGGCCCTTCATGATCTTGTTCCTGTCTTCGGGGTTGGCTTATGCCACTTGTCCAGTAAGCTTTTCCTGAACTGTTAAGTATTTCTCTCATGTGTTCTTTGGAAACTTTCATTAATAGCCTTTATCACACCACTTTAGGTAATACTTACAAGCAAAGAGTTTAAAAAGGCAAAGAGGCCCTGGCTAGTTTGGCTCAGCAGTTAGAGCGTAGGCCCCGCAGAACAGAGCCCTAGTTTGGTTCCCACTAAGGGCACGTACCTCGGTTGCAGTTCGTCCCCAGCCCCGCTTGGGGTCTTGTGGGTGGCAACCAATGTGTCTCTCTCACATCGATGCTTCTCTCTCTCTCTTCTTCCCTCTCTCCCTCCCACCCTATCTGAAGATAAATGCAAAAATGTCCTCGGGTGAGGGGGGAAAAAGGCAGAGTACTGAAAGTTATGACATGGAACAGCATTTCTTCCTGCCCTACGCACCCCTCTCCTCTAGTCTACTCACCAGAAGCAGTCACTTTACAAGTCTGTTAGGCGTTTCTTTTTGCATTTACCTCCATAGTTGGCAGTGGATTTTAGCAAAATTCAAGCTAAGTTATCATCATGCTGATGTATATTTTACACTGCTGAGAAATTAATATACTGTGATTATATTTCCTATTTGTAAAATGTTTCCTATAGTAAATGGTCTCCTTTTTTCATTGTCTAAAGCTTCTGTTGAATGTCTATCTTCCCACACTAGTACTTCTATTAAATACCTGTAATACAAATTTGAGATCACACATTTTTCTCCTTGTGGAACACCTTATAGTTAGAAGTTGGACAACCTACATCATGCATTTTTAACAAGAGTATTATTGCCCCCAAAAGGGATGAAAATTGGTTCTTGGGGAGGTGAAAAAGTCTTAACTCCTTTTATATACCAAAGCACAGGAATATATAAAAAGATATATATATATAGTTATTAAAAGGTCATGGAGTTAGGAGGCAGTTTTTTTAAAAGCCTTAAAAAAAAATGCTCCTTATAGGTGGGTGATGATAAAAGTAATGTCAAAAACACAGATTTATATTGATCTTCCAATTTTCTGTAGTTCATTTCTTTTTCTTTTGGCTTCTACTTTTTGGGAGAATTTCCTTAACTTTTTTTCTAATATTTCTTAAGAAATTTTGAGTATCAAATTGTAGTTTGTGCCCTGGCCGGTTTGGCTCAGCGGTTAGAGCATCGGCCTGCGGTCCAGAGAGACCCGGGTTCGGTTCCCGCTAAGGGCATGTACCTCGGTTGCAGTTTGTCCCCGGCCCTGGTTGGTCATGTGGGTGGCAGCCACTCGATGTGTCCCTTTCACGTCGATGTTTCTCTCTCTCTCTCTCTCTCTCTCTCTCTCTCTCTCTCTCCTCTCTCTCCCTCCCACTCTATCTGAACAAAAAAATGGAAAAAAATGTCCTCGGGTGAGGACAAAAAAAAAAAATTGTAGTTTGTAAAACCTTGCTCTTTTACCTGATACTTTTTTATTTCCTTTTTCATAGCATTCTGCTATATTTTTTTTAATTCATCTTTATTATTGAATGTATTACAGATGTCTCCCCTTTTCTATTTTTTTGTGGATGCAAAACATTACTTTGTGTATTTATAGTTTGTATTTATGTTTGGGTTTCTGTATTTTTCTCTGTTTGAGTTCTTTTGTTTTTTGTTTTTTTCTGTCTCATATTTTAGAGGCTTTCTTTAAAACCTTGCATATTGGAGTGGGATGCTAAAAGGCCAATTGGGAATTCTATAGGTGTGGCCTTATGTACTGTTGAACTTCATTGGGAAAGGTGGCTTTTCACATGGAACCCTCAAGTTAGTATCTGTAGTTCTTTTCCCTAAGTCAGTTTATAGTTCAGTTTCTTCAAAGAAAGATCTTCCAAGCCTGATACAAGCCTGGCTGCTAGCTTACCTGGGGGATCTGGGTTGAAGATGCAGACTTTCTTTTAATTCTTTATATTTTGTAATGGTATTCTGTTTTCTTCCTTCCACCCTTCTGCCTTTCAGTGCCCGATCCCCTTGAATTCAGAATATATTGGATTCAGTTTCTCCAGAGAATAAACTGTGGTCTCTGGTGATAATGTTGAAGGACAAGGATGTCCCTAGATGGGAGTGATCTGTTCCAAGTACATAGTTTTTGTTTCTTACTGATTTTAGAAAGAAAGGGAGAGAGCGCAAGAGAGAGAGACAGAGGGAGAGAGAAAGAGAGGAAGGGAAATAGAGAAACATCAATCAGTTGCCTCCCGTGTGTACCTTGACTGGGGATCAAACCCGCAACCTGGTATGTTCCCTGTCCAGGAATCGAACCTGCGGTGTTTTGTGTACAGGATAATGCTCCAGCCAAATGAGTCACACAGGCCAGGGCCCAAGTATATAGTTTTAAGCATTCTCTCTGTTTTTAGTTCCCTGATACTTTCCTTTTGCAATACCTGGTACCTTTAATTACCAAATTTTGTGAGGTTCATAGTAAATTAGCTTCCACTTTTGGGACTCTCCCATTCCTTTGTTTGATTGGTTGTTTTTATCTTTGTATCAAAGTATAAAATTCAGAGAAATGCATATATCATAGGTGTTTATTTCAGTGATTATCACTATAATAACCACCCCCATGTACACCTCCCTGGTCAAGAACTCGAATGTTAGAGAACTCCATAAATCCTTCCTTGGTACCCTCTCAATTACTGTCTTCTCAGTTCTCCCCAGTTAAGCCTCTGTCTTGATTTCTTATATATACCACAGATTAGCTGTGACTATTTTTAAACTTTATATTATGAAAGTATATTTTATCTTATAGTACTATTAATGCTTAGTAAAGTCTCCAGGCATTTTTCTTGTGATTCAGTGCTAAAGCATTATCTGGTATTAAGTAGGTGTATTATTAAAAACTCGGTAAAGTTGAAGTAAAATAATTTAAAGTCCTGTGTTAATGATAACTGGTTATTATTTTCTTGCTACATAGATCAAATCTTTAACTGTTTATAGAGTTTTGCCCCATAATCTAAATTGCCATTTTAGTTTTGGCTAGCACAAGAAACTTAAGTGGGGGTTGAATGAGTTCGTTGTTTTTCCCTTCCAGGTAAACCAGATTTTTATCAAGACAGAGACCCCCTGAGGGTCTCTGTAAGTCGAGAACAAAGTTTCCTTGGGACCCCATTGGACCATGATTCATTTGCTCACCCTCATCCGATTGCCCAGGAGAATGCCTGTGGTGATGATTCTGATAAAGCAGGTGAGAGGTAAAGAAATTGAAGGTGGAGTTGCTGTGCCCCGGGGTGTGTGGACAAAATATATTTATTGTAGTGTTATTTGTAATGAAAAATGGTAAGTAACTTCAGTGGCTGTTGGGAATAGAATCATTATGGTGTGCCCATACTGTGTGGTTCTGTGTAGTGTTAAATAATGTTAAATGACACGGGGAAAATCTGTGTTCATGCATTGCAAATTGCCTGGATGATAATCACCAAAGGGTTGGTGCAACTTTTTTTAGAGACTGGGTTTCACTTTCTATTTTATATATTCATCTATAGATTTTTTTTAAAAAATAAGAAATATGTATTCTGTGCAGAAAAAGTTGAGGGAAGTGAAGTTTATTTAAAGAATGATTTTGGCCCAGCTGGTGTGGCTCAGTTGGTTGAGCATCAACCCATGCACCAAGAGGTCACTGGTTCAATTCCTAGTCAGAGCACATACCCAGGTTGTGAACCCGATCCACAGTTGGGGTCATGCAGGAGGCAGCCATTCGATGTTCTTTCTCATCAATGTTTTTCTCTCTCCCTCTCCCTCTCTCTTTAAAATCAATAAAGGAAAAAAATTTAAAAAAAAAAAAATGATTTTACTTTTTTTTTTCCTGTACGTGCCCCTAGCAGGAACCAAACCCGGGACCCTGGTCCGCAGGCCGATGCCCCAAACGCTGAGCCAAACCGGCCAGGGCTGATTTTGCTTTTCAGTTGTTTCACTAAATAATTGCTAGTAGGAAGTATTTGAACATATGAGGTTGTTATAGTTGGCAGCCTCTACAAATTTTGTGTTTATCCCTGTTAATAACAATTCACATTTAATTAAGTACTGTTAAATAATATCTTTAAAAAATTCTATATGAGGCTTTCTAAATAAACTATTTTGTTTACTTTTAAATATTTGGAAAATAAAGAGGGCTATAAGGAAAAAACATTAAATTACTTCATTGTGCCACCCAAAGATAGCCAGTGTTAATTTCCTCGCTTTTGAATTTGTGCACATATGTAACAAGCAGTTTTACATTTATGTTATGCTTACTGACCATACAAAGCATAGTTCTAGTACTGCTTTATTAGTTCTAAAGTACCTTTTAAGTTGTTGCCTTTTCTAACCAGATTTCTTTTTGTTTTAGCTGTCACATATACTTGAGTGATTATCTTAGTTGCATTTATAGAATAGAGTAACAGATGAGAGAGACCTATTCCTTTTTGAGAGTTTATAGAAAAATTGTCGTTAGCATCTTTTTTTTTTAAATTGGAGATTGAAATAACTGCAGAGAATATAATTTCCATGAATTGTATATAGTTTTTGACACATAAAACTTTATTATGCAATTATTTTAGATTTAGCTAAAGGACAGTTGTATTTCCTTTTTATTCTACCCATTGATACCCTCTAGCCAAAGACCACCTGGAGCACACCTGTAGTTGAACAAAACTGGGTTTTCTTTTGTTTGTTTTTAATCCTCACCCGAGAATATTTCTCCATTTATCTTTATGATTATTATTATTATTATCGAAAGTATTACAGATGTCCCCTTTTTTTTTCCCATTGACCCCCCCCCCCCCTCCTTTCCAATCCCACCCTCTTCCTGCCTTCCCCAGCCTAGTGTCCATGTCATTTGGTTGTGTATATATGCATATAAGTTCTTTGGTTTATCTCTTCCCACACACCCCCACCCCCACCCCTCAGGTTTGTCAGTCTGTTCCCTACTTCTTCGATTTTGGATCTCTTTTGGTTGACAGCTTATTTTGTTCATTATGTTCCACAAATAAGTGAGATCATGTGGTACTTGTCTTTATCTGATTGGCTTATTTCGCTTAGCATAATACTCTCCAGGTCCCTACATGTCATCTCAAAGGATGAGAGATCTCTCTTTCTTCCATTGTGTAAATGTACCACAGCTTTTTTGTTCTGTTTTTTTTAATCCTCACCTGAGGATATTTCTCCATTTTTCTTCAGATTGGGAGGGAGGAGGAGAAAGAGAAAAACATCAACATGAGAGAGATATAAATTGGTTGCCTCTCACAAAACCCCGACCAGGGCTGGGCACCTAACCACAACCAAGGTACATGCCCTTGACCAGAATCAAACTTGAGACCCTTTGGTCTGCAGGCTGATGCTCTAACCACTGTGAAAAACGGCCAGAGCCAAAAAAGTAAGGTAGAGATGTCTCAATAAGAAGAAATTAGAAAGGATTTGCTGGGCCCTGGCTGGGTAGCTCAGTTAAGAGTGTCGTCCCAATATGCCAAGAGTGTGGGTTTGATCCCCATCAGAACACATACAAGAATCAATCAATAAATGCATAAATAAGTGGAACAACAAATCGATGTTGCTCTTTCCCCCTCCCTCCTTCTTTCACTTTCCCTTGCTCCCTTCTCTCAAATCAGTTAAAAAAGATTTACTGTAAGATTTGAGCTTCTATTAGGTGATTATGGGGAGGAGTCAAGGAAATAAGGCTTTGATTATTAGTATTGGTATTATCAGGGAGCAGGATGATTCTATTTTGGGGTACCTAAAAGTTCTCATTTAGGAGATATGATTAACAGAGTGAGGCTAATTAGCCAGGATGAGTTGCTTGGTCATGTTTGTGGTCTGGGCTGTATTCATGATTTTATCTCTGTTCAGAAATGAGTGAGGGCAGTCTCATTTTTGTCTTGATCCATGATGGTCACAGAGTGGCATTTTCTGATGTTGATGTTCTGTGGAATTGTTCATGTGTAACAGAAGAACACCAGGGTCTGGCTGACAGTGCCAGATCAGTGCCTGGCTCCCAGGCTGCCTTTCTCCTCATAATTTTCCCCAGATTTGTATTGTTCTGTCTTAGAAGTTTTGTTACTTCTCCATTCCCTACCTACCACTTTATTCAGGTCCTCATCACCTCCTTTCTTTCTTCGTAGCTTTTTAGGTGGTATCACTAACTTCAAGCTCTGTACACCTTGGTTTTGTAGAACGGCAGGAAATGGTGCTTTGCTTCTGAAGGAAAGCAAGAAAGGTTGCCTTCCTCATAGCATGGAAAGATTGCTCTGTTTAAGGCCTTGCTTTCGTGATGTTACTTCCCCTTTTTAGGAACCTCCTAATGGGTTTCTACTCCCACTGAACCATTTCCAAACCTATGAAAGTTATTTCTCTTCCAACTACTTTCAGGAACCTGTTCACTGAGTTGTTCAATGTCTTAAATAACTGACCTTGCTCCTTTATCTCATTTTTATTTTTAACTTCTTACCACTACTCAAATGCTCCCTTGTTCTCATCTCTCCTCTGGGAGAATCTTCTTGGTAGATTGCAGAGCTCTCTTCAAAAAGGTTTTACTCATAAATAACAATGACAGCTACAGTTTTCCAGGGAAAAAGTATATCATGCTGATTAGTAAATGTTTGAATAATAAAATGTTGTTTTCTTTTTCTGTTTTGTTTTTGTTTTTAATCTAAGATAAGGCGATTTCACGAAGCAAAACATGAAAGAAAATTTTAGGAAAGCAGGAAATGATACCCTCTGGTGCTAAGAATTTGATTTGTCATAATCCAAATCTTTTTTCCCCATTTCAGTCACGATCGAGGAGGCTGTGCTTGAGGACCCTGCCGTGTTAAGTTATGCTGTGGACAAAGAAGAGCACATGTATCTGCGTCCAGCTGGGAAGCCAGAGAATGAGGTTGGCAATGTCTTAGTGTGCACTACATTGTTAGAGCTGTTGGGCTCTATGTGCTCTTTCGTGTAGTTCACAGCAGTTGTGAAATATTGAAGTGTGTGTTCTCTGAGATCTGCTCCTACTGAAGTGGATCAGTGATGAAAATAGCCAAATCTGAGCATCGGAAGACCTTCCAGTCTACCTGATGCATGATCTCTGTAGTTCTGAGAAGCAAAAGCATAAAATAATTTAAAATTGTGTGTGTGTGTGTGTGTGTGTGTGTGTGTGTGTGTGTAAGGGTGACAGTGGATAACTGAGGTCTTGCAGATGGGTGAATGATATTTGTGGGGGTGGGGAACGTGTGTGAAAGGCTGATCAGTTCTGAGCAATGATGAAAAGCTTTAATCACTGACCTTTGTAATTATGAAGGTTTCTACACTTGATCTGAGCTCAGAATTGATAACTGCTGATATTGGTGATTTGCGTTTTTTCTAGATATTACTTCCTACATTGTGGTCTGATGTTTTCCTTAATTTTAGGCTGAAGCACAAGAGATTTATCCTGAGCCATTATCTTCAATAACTATTTCTACTGGGAGTTTAAGTAACGAAAACACAGATTTGAGCTTTACAGATCCAGGTAATAATGTCAAACTATCTGTAAATAAACTGAAAGCCCAGCACCAGTTCAGTTGCAGTACAGTGATGGGAGCAAGCATTGCTTTTCACGTTGTGCTGAGAGGGATTTTTTTAAGTCACAGAAGTAAAAGTTGTTATGCCTCATGGAATATTGGACAGTATGATATTCTAAACATGACTGGAAATCAGGTTTGCAGACACTTAGGATGCTCTGTGGGTCCCCACAATGCTGTGAGAAGTATCTGCTATGTTACATTTTCCCATTCAGTGGGAAGTTATCTGAGCAAATTGCTTGGTTGCACTGATCCCTTATCAATATATATTGCTATGCCTCTCACCAAAATTTGTCTCTAAGGAAGTACCAAACTATTAAATATTTTCATTAATCTCAACTTCCGGAGTCATTTTCAGAGCCTGTGAACCATAGGGAACAAGAATCTACTGCTGGCAAAGGAGAGCAGTTAGTTTAAGTTCTACATTTCCTCCATCACACGTTATTTATCAAAGGCGGGATTCTTGGGATGCTTATCAACCTCTGTTGCCTGCAGTGGAAAAATTTATGTCTGGTCAAGCACACATTGAGCAGACAATAGACAAGTACATAAATGAAGCAGATTTGATGACCCAAAAAACAGACTTGCGGGGTAAAATTATTTTGGACAAATACTTTTATATAAACTACAACTTTTATCGCTTCTTGGCCTTTTGGCTAAGATCAAGTATAGTATCTGTTCTTATCAGTTTAATATAAACTATAACTTTTAAATTTTCATCCCTTTTAGGTTTGAGTAGTGATTGAATTCCATGTTTTTTTTCATGGCCTACTGCAGCGCAGTTATGCGATGGACAACTGTGAGGGCATTGAGTGAGAAGAGGGGACTTGGAACCACTTAGACTCACTGATGAACATGTAGAGGATGAGTTCAGGACATCCTCCTTTACCTTTGCAGAGTTATCTATAACAGCTTGAGGGCAGTACGTGTTGACAATATTGAGAACAAGAACTCAGGAAGAGGGATCTTAGAGATTAAATGAGATAATGTACATAAATACAACATCTGGCCCATAGTTAACACTCAGCTTTTCTTTTTTTAATCATTGACCTGAAATGAGCTAGGTGAGAATGACAGAGCTTGTAGCAAAGCAGTGATCACAGTGGACTCTTACTCTTTTTTTTTCTTTGGTACGTGCCTCTAGCGGGAACCGAACCCAGGACTCTCTGGTCCGCAGGCCGACGCTCCAACCGCTGAGCCTAACCGGTCAGGGCTGGACTCTTACTCTTAATTAAACTTATAAAACTTTGGGCCTGGTAGAAAGGAAGACATATTTGTGAAAGGTTTTTGTCATTGAGAGTGTACCCACTTTTTGTATAATGTGATGATAGGACCTAGTTTGAAAACATCTGTTAGTAATGAAAAAAATGGGATGTTGTTGAATAGGATTTACCTAAAAATAAGCTTTTAAAAATATATTCTTAGTACTACTTTTCTAGACCTTATTTTTAAAATGAATTCATCTTTTTTCTCAAAATTCCAACAGTTGATCTTGACTTTCCAGAACTAGAATACATTTTTCCAAACTTGCATCATCAGCTGTTTAAACCCTTAGAACCACAGCCAGATTTTGATATGTCATCATTATCCTCTGGGATTTCTCAAGAGAGCAGAGACTTTTACCAGGTATGTTAAAGTAGATACTTCATTTCACTGAATTTCCAAGAACAGTTTGTCAAATTTTCTTCTGTTAGAATAGCACAATGGTGGTTAATGTTGGTTGCCAATTAGAATCATATGGGAAGTTTTTAAAAATCCCAGTGCCCAGACTGTACCCCATACCAATTAAATCAGAATCTCTAGAAGTGCTCAGACCCAAGATTCAAACCTGGGTCTTTCTACTTCCATATCCTGATATCCAGATGTCAAGATAATTCCTGCTTATCAGAAATTGATCTCATCATGTCCTAAACTCAATCTGGTTAATTTGTAATCTGTGTGTGTGTGTGTGTGTGTGTGTGTTTTTAATCCATAAATAATTATGTTTTAAATTAGAATGGAGAGGTGGAGATGGAAAAAAATTTCAGGGGACAAAGACAAGCAAAAAGGAGAAAATGAAATCCTCCAATAGTTTCACCACTTGTACTACAGAGAGCATATTCTTTTGTTTGCTTTTCTATAAAAATGTATTATCAGGTGAGGTGGGGATTAGCTCTGGGGGACCCAAAATATCCTCCTGAGGAAGGAATTGGGGCGAGGCTTGGAATTGAGAGGAGGGGAGAGAGTTTCCGCTCTTGGGTGTATAATCAGAGAAGGTTCTGGTGTGAGCATCAGAAACTCAAGTGAAGAGTATTTTTCGAAGGCCAGTGGAAGCCTACGTAATTGATGAAAGACACACCGAGCAGGCTTGGGTCAGCCAGAATTAAGGGAACTCTGAGGACCAAGAACCAGGGGGTAGGCAAAGCAGTCATTTAACAGGGACAGAGCTGGGGATGATATCAATAACCCCACAACTGCAGTTGCCACAAAAAGAATGGCCAGAATCCATTCCCTTGTCCTTGCCAGAGTCAGTGTCCTTGGAAAGAGCAGTTTGGGTCATGTGTCTTCACTGATTCACCAGGTGAGGAGAGGAGGGGGCTGACCCTCTTGACTTAAACCAGATGAAAGTAGCAGTGCCAGGAAGGAGCCAAGAATGACTGCTTGCCCCAAAGACAGTTGGGGAGAGGTAGTTTCCCTTAATGAAACTGGGGTGCTTTAGGAGTGGAATGGGTGCTGTACAGTCCCAATCCGAGAGCTACCAACTAGTCAGCCTAGAGAGAGCCAGCGCTTGGGGGCTGCTGCTTCTAGGGATGTATGTATGTGAGTCAGGAGTCTTGATCCTTGGTCCCAGCTTGGCCATTAGCTTGCTGTGAGACCTTGAGCAAGTTGCTGGAGCTCCCTGAGCCCCATATCCCTTATCAGGAAAATAACCTCTGCACTGCCCACATCAGGGTCTGCTCACTGGTTTGAATGAAGTTAAGGTTCTAGAAACCAGGCCAGCCCTGCTTAGCTTCTGAGATCAGATGAGACTGGGCACGTTCGGAGTGGTGTGGCTGTAGACCCTGGAGTTCATTTGGTTAGAGTGTTGTCCTGATATGCTGGGGTTGTGGGTTCAGTCCCTGGTCAGGTCACATTCAACTGATGGATGCATGAATGGCTTGGGCTCCGGCAGAGGGAGGGCAGACTGGACTGAAACTGTGCGGAGAGACTTGGAATTTGGAGGGCACGGGGAGTTTTTGCTGAATCACTCCCTCATAGGACAGTAGCCATCTTACTTAGAGCCCCAGAGCCCTGGGGAGCTGTAATTTGTTCTTTAAATAATCTCTTAAGACTTCTTTTTTCTATTGATTGATATAGAAGAATTGGGTTTGAATGAGCAAATTATTAGTGTAACAGTAAAATGGCAGTTAAGGAAGACTAATTCAAAGGAACATGATTATTGACTCAACCTGTAACACATAATCAGCACTTCAGCATTTCCCTGTTGTTTTCCATCAGGGCTCAGATGCTTCATGTGAAAGCCACCATGCGACTGTGTGCTCCAAAAGTACGGTTTCTTTCACAGCACTGAGGAGGGCCAGCCTGCACTCTCCTCTGCACACAAGCCTGGATCAGCAGCCTGACCCGCACCTGACTCACAATGCAGCTCTGAGTTTTGGCACAGAAAATATTTTTGAGGGTATGTATGATTAAATTAGAAAGAGTTTAAAACCCTGTACCAGCGGTTCTCAAACTGTGGGTCGCGACTCCTTTGGGGGTCGAACGATCCTTTAACAGGGGTCACCTAAGACCATCGGAAAACACGTATTTCTGATGGCGATTCATCACAGTAGCAAATTACAGTTATGAAGTAGCAACGAAAATAATTTTATGGTTGGGGGTTACCACAACATTTGGAACTGTGTTAAAGGGAACTAGGAAGGTTGAGAACCACTGCCTATGTTTTTCTTCTTCATTGTTTTCGTCCATTTTTCTTGGAAATTGTACCTAGAAGTTTGTCTCCATTTCTGTCTTCACACCTCTGCCCCCAGTGTCACAGTTCTGTTTCTTTGCGTATTCATTTCAGTAACAGAGATTATGTATGCTCATTTGGTAATTCTCACAGTAGTGAATTTGATCAAAGAAGAAAAGTTCTGCTTCTTGCTCAGCTTCCCTACCTCAACACTTATAGTCATCAGTTTAAGTATCCTTCTAAAACTTTTTGTACAAATTTTATATATACAGAAATACACACAAAGGGAAAATCTTACTGTGTCGAATAGCCGTATTTTTTAAATTAAATAATACTAGGAGAGCTCTTCCTGCAAAAAAAACAATAATAATAATGGGAGAAAATGCATGATGTGCTCAGTAGTTACTTGAAAATCACTTTAGGTTTTTTAGGTTTCTCTTCATATTTACATATATCAACTTTCTCTACTAAAATTATAGGAACTAAACTTTGCAATATATTCAAAATATTTGGGACTGTATCTGTATTCAAGTTTTTAACATATGATGATTAACTGATTTCTTAAACTTCTTATTGCAGGATCTGAACAATCTTTTCAACAGCTTCTGCCAGAATTTTCTTCACAGGAGGGGAGCCAGCATGCTGATCTACCAACTATTTTTAGCATTGAAGCAAGAGATTCTTCCCAAGGCATGGAAAATCAGTACTCCTCTGACCCAACTGAAATATTACAAAATAAGGGGGGAAATGTTCATTTCCAGCTCTCTATAGGAAATTTGAAAAGTTCAATCTTCACTCCATCTACTGAGGCTAATGTATTTCATCAGTTAAATTTACAGCATAGCACTCCATGTGGTTCTACTTCTAGTGAGTACTCAGTGAAAGACAGATTAGAAGGCCAAAAAGAAAAACTGGGCTTTGAAGAACTATCAGAAAGAGGGGTTGATGAAGTGTTACAAAGTCAAGGACTTACTGAAGAGGAAAAAAATGGAACCTGTGGAGTTTTCCGTGTAAATCCACATGTACCCGAAATTGACTCACAGTTATGTATAAGAACAGTGGAGATGGGAACTTCCGTTCAGATACCATATTCATTAACTATTCAGAATGAAAAATATTTTGAGAACTCAGCTAAAGCAGAAACTCCAAAAATGATACCAACCCTGTCTCGGCCATCACAATCAGAGTTCTTTTTCAGTTCTGGATCATTATCACTACAGAGCTCTATTCCCATCTGGGTGAGTGAAATCTGTGTTGTATAAATAGCATTTAGAGTGGTTTTCAAGGAAGACTTTTTTTTTTTTTAATGTTTCCATTGATTTTCTGAGAAAGGAAGGGAGAGATAGAAACATTAATTCGTTGCCTTCTGCACGCCTCCTACTGGGGATTGAGCCCACAACCTGGGCATGTGCCTTGATGGGGAATCTAACCAGGACCTCTCAGTCCATGGGATGACACTCAATCCACTGAGCCACACTGGCCAGGCAAGTCTTCTTTTTAATATTTGTGTGTTTATTTTGTTAAGATATGGGTAAAAGACATACATATATACACATACACATATATAGTTAAGTGTGCATGGTATAAATTTAAGAGTAATTATTAATAGAGTAAAAATATAGTTTCCTAACCAGCAGAGAATAAAATGAAGTCATAGAAAATATTTTTAATTCAATCAAAGGCAGAGAAGGAAGGCAAAATGATATCCAACAAAAAAATTAAACAGAAAGCATAAAAAGTCCAGAACCAGGGGTACTTGTAAAACAAATTTCAAGAGAAAGAACAAGGCTACTTGTTACCATACCTGAGGTAGTCAGTCTTGTAATCAGACATCTCTAAATTTGGAGATCTCTGAAGTTCACAAAATATTTTCCTCCCAGTTCACATATCCCTTCTTGGCTTCCCTGAGGAAGTGTCCAGCCTATGCTTCAGCATTTTCAGTGTTCAACCTCAATGCTCTGCATTGAATTAAACCAGTAGATTTCAACCTTTTCCATCTCATGGCACACACAAACTAATTACTAAAATTCTGCGGCACACTGAAAAATTTATTTTTTGTCAATCTGTCCAAAAAAATAGGTCTAACTTAGATTCATTCACATTCGATAACTACTATGTTGGCTGTTGTCATTTTGACAACTGAAGGGAAACTTGTCTTAAAAATTCTTGCAAGCACACCAGTGTGCCACAGTGCACCAGGTGAAAATTGCTGCATCAATCGATTCAACTCCTAAATATAGTATTGTTTGCCCTTCCACACATGCTTGTTATAATAGAGATTGAAAATAAGGGTGACATCTGGACCACAGATATAATTTGGCTTTTGGATTTTTTTTGATAAATTCTTGTTCAAGGTTTAAAGATGGTATTTCTCTTTAAAAACTAGTCTGTCAGCAGTGGCGTACATTTGGCTGCAACCCATTAGCACTGCTCCCTTTAGACAGGCTAAAAGCTCTGGTTCTCCAGGGCCCCCAGTTAACCTGTACTTATCTGCCTAGCCCTGTGATCCTTTGGGTCTGTAATCATTGTAGATTTTTTTTGACAATTTTCAGTTACTTCACCCATCTCCAAGTCTCTCCAGTACTTCTGAAAGTGGGGGTGCACTGCCATGCTGTTCTTCCTCTATAATGTGCATTATTTTCACATCTTGAGTGTTTGAGGCTATTTTTGGACATGGTTTCCTTTTTAATTTTACTACACAGGAGACAGAGTCTGGCCATGGTATAATGGAAGAACCAGAACTTTCGTTAGTAAGCACCAGTGATAACAGTATTGCTGAAGTGGATTTTGCAAACCTAACCTTAGATGAAAAGAATGAGGCAAAAAGTTTTCAGGTAAATATTATAGTTCTCATTAATAAAAATACACCTCATTTCCACAGCAACCAATAGCTGAGAATTGGGGAACAGGATAGGATAGTCAGTTTTTTGCTTTTCTACCATTAGAATTACTTGCAAATGAATTTCTTTCCCCGTTAGGTTTACTGCAAGTGCAGTAAACTATAAACAGGAGGCCAGAAACTGACAGGAAATAGAAAAGCCTCTCATAAATAAGTTTTTTATTTTTTATCCTCACCCAAGGACATTTTTACATTTTTTTGTTCAGAGTGGGAGGGAAAGAGAGAAACATCAATGTGAAAGGGGCACACTGAGTGGCTGCCACCCGCATAACCCAACCAGGGCCGGGGACAAACCACAACCAAGGTTCATGCCCTTAGCAGGAACCAAACCCAGGTCTCGGGACTGTAGGGCGACGTTCCAACCGCTGAGCCAAACCAGCCAGGGCAAATACATGTTATTTATGGAGTTTATGTGAGCCAAAACTGGCAACACATGCCAAGAAAAAAAGATCTCAAATGCTCCTAAATACATGTATTTCTGATGCTATAGACTTCATTCAGATTTGGGCTGGAACTCCTGCCTTCCTTTCCCGATGAAAGATACTGTGTTTCAAAGCTGTGAGGTAGCAGAGGTGCTCCAGATAGGTAAGGATGTCGAGTCAATGTTTTTAAAGTAAAGATTATTTCAAATTCTGTTGCCTGCACATTCCCACTTTCTTCCACAACAAGCAAACTATTTGCTTCTTGCCTGGCTCATAATTTAATTCTAATTTAGAAGGGCTCCAGGTTAATAGATAAATTCATTGATTGATGCAAGTGTTTTTTTGTGGCCTGACACAAAATTAGAATGGAATTCACTTCTTGAAAGTATTCCAAGATACTTAGAAGTAATCAGGATGGGAATAAGCTTTGATGGAGGGCTAGTAATTGTTCTCTAGTACTGCTGGTCAAATAAAGCCTTTAGTATGAATAAAACTGCTTATGTTTATTATAGACTTTCCCTTGCCAAAACAGTCTAGTCCAGCAGGATTTAGCTAAAGCTCTGCTGTACATTGAGGTAAAAGTGATAAATTCATCTACGCCTTTTCTTGCAATTAGGTGAGTGAATTTCCACCTGTGTCAGAAACACAAAACTCGGATTATCCAGCTGTATCAGATCCTTCTGTGGAGAAGCCAACTGCAGTTTCTGCAGGTACGACTTGAGCATCTGAAATGGTCAAGTGAACCCAAGGGCTGGCAGGAGTTCCTTATTCAGGTTCATAGCCTCCAATCTCGCATGTTGCTGGCCTTTAAAGTTCAATGACGTGAAAATAGTTTGTGGTTTTTTCCTCTTAGAAACCCTTCCAAAATTTACACCTGTACCAGGAAGCTTACAAGAAGCATTTGTAAAGAGAAAAAAATCATTTATAGAGAGATCCTGCCAGAGACAGAAAGAAATAAGGAATAAAATACGTGTCTTTAAAAATTCAGAAAGCCAAGTGATTAAGGGGAGACCTTCTACAGGTATGTTCCCAAAAACATTTGTATCCATTCTCAGAAAGGGATTCTGTCTTATCTCTCAAATTACTTGTTTTCTGCTCAGGTTTATCTGCAAGTCACCTAAAGGGTGTGAATAAAGTTCGAGTGTCACTTCCTGAAGACAGAAAGACTGCACAAGCCCTTACGCACCAAAGAGCTCTAAGGTATATTATGTGTGTGCTTATAATAACTATAATTATTAATAATATTCCCATTCCTGAACTAGCTATCTTGAATTCCATATAAATTCCTTACAGGTTACACAATCAGTTAGCTGAAGTCAAACAGCAGAAGGAAGAGAAGGTAAAGCAAGATGCATATGCCCAAAACAGAGCAAGGGCAAAAGAATTTCATAAGGTGAGCAGGTTGCCAATTTCTTTTTCATGTCAAAGATATAGGAGCGCAACTGAAACTGCTAAATTTTACCTTTATTCCCTCCACAGAAAACACTAGAGAAACTCCGAGCCAAAAATACATGCTGACTTTTTACAAAAAGTGTAAATGGTTTTTATTATTTGTAACATAGGCACAATTATTTAAAGTTAATAAATTTTTATTTAAGGAATTCCACATGTTCTGAATCTTTCCACACACTGACTTAGTTTCTCCAGAGTTTGACTCCTTAATCCCTGTAAAAGAAGGGTAGGCAGTGTTAAACTTTTATTTAATTTCCCACATCACTAACCATTGATACAAGTAGTGAAATCTTGTATCTCCTCAGGAAAACGTAACACTACAGAGTGTCTATTACATCCTATGGAGAACTTTGATCTTAGGTCACAGCGTTAAGAGCTCCTGGTTTTGGTCCCGTAAGCTCTCTTTGAAATGACCTATAAATTAACATCTTTTCTAATGTGTACATACCTTTTTTGGCTCAATCCAGTTGTCATTTCAGTAGTCCTAAATAACAATAAAGATGATCGTGTGATCACAAACTATCTGGTCACTAGCAACCTAGAAGGATTAGACAGAGGACATCTGCAAGACTCCAGAGATCTAAGGCAGCTATATAAAAATTACCAATGCCTATTTCAAAATTACATATAGCTTGTGTTGTATTTATATTGGACAGTGTTAATCTAGACAATGAAAACAAGGGTTAAGAAAATGTTCCCAATAGGCTGAATGCTACCAATGTAGCAGGAAAAAAAACCTAATGGGAAAATATTTTGTGGTCATGTCCACAGCAAATGAGAAACTGCATTCTAAAAGCCTTGGTAATGACCATTATACATCGACAATTTGGTCTGGTAAAATAAAGACAGATAACTTGCCACAGTTCTTTCAGTTGATCTTCTTTTAGCTACACTTGAATATGGACATACTTCAACAATTCCCCACCTGTGGAGAAAGATTTTCAAGTTGGAGTTTTCAAAATGGGGGTTCATTTCAGTCCCAAAGATCCTGCAAACCAGTTCTCACTAGCATGTATTGGAAGTTCTAACATGTATGGAAACTGCAAATAGTTGGAATAAACATCTTTTCAATCCAGTTCATTTAAACTCAGTATTTTGAACAAATCTTTAAATTAAGCCATAATCCATTTCCACTCACAACCAAACTCATGAAATGCACACTGATCATAAACTGCAAAGGCAGCTGTTTGGAAATGTGTATGTTTCAGGAAACTTTTTATCTTGAGCTTTCACGGATGTTCAGATGGCTATTTTCATTCAGCCCATTCAGAGCAGTTGAACATTTTGCTCATCATCATAACATCATGCTGGTGAACAGTACAAACACATGGTGGCCTTTTTTAACGTCTAATCCTTGTGCTAATAATTAACCACCAGGATGGGCTACTGTAAGGATAAAATAAATTCAAGGATATTAATACTGAAGTTGTATAAAGGAGTTTAAGTCTCCTATAAACTAGGAGGGAGTTTGAAGAAAAGTTAAAATCTTACCTGTATCTTTGGGACCCTATTTCTTCATGCAATTTACTTTTAGAACCCTGGAAGTTAAACATTAAGAAGCACATTGTTATTTTAGCAAGTGAGTCAAGATCTGTTATTCTAAAATTGAAGTCTTATTACATCCAGTTTTTACTCATTGAGCCTAGCAAAGTGTCACAGGTCTCATTGTCACCACTGCAATAAAAGTACCGTGATGGAAGCATAACCTGTGTCTCAATGTAGCCACATTAACAATTTCTGGACACCATGTACAAAAATAGTGCCTGTTTTAATCTAGAATGAGGCTTCATAAAAGTTTCTCTCAAGCTTATATGTACATTGTGCAAAAGGTTTCTACATCTGTGTATATCAAAGTAAAAGCTCCGAGAAACAACAGAAATAGAAATAGTACACCTTACACAGTTAGGGTCAGAGTAGATGGATCGGCCTGGCTTCTCAATTTCACACACCCTAGAAAAAGAGAAGCTTTAGTTCCTATTGAAGAATTATGTCTAACTGAACAGTAAGAAACTATTCCTATAATGTGTCAATAAAAATACCAGGTTTCACATGCACAAAGCCAAGAAAACCAACGATGCCAGATACTGAATTTATATTGCACTGTCCTTTGAACACCCAGCAGGAATAAACTGCTGAATGCAGATACCATGCAGTGCATTGTGACTGAACTAGAAACACATCTATTTCCGGTATCTGAGGAATAAATCTAATTGTGAAAAATTCCTAATTGTCATTTCAATGAAGCAACCTACATTAATGCAATAAACTATAAAACTAGTCACACTTATCTGTATCCTGTCTCTCTTTACACTAGAAAAGGTCACAGTTGTTCAACCTATTAGGTGGAATTCCTTGATTTTAACATATCCAAGTCTACATGTTTATTAGGATGGAGCCATATGGAACTGTCAGTTTAATAAAAGGGTGCAAAAGGGACATTTTCATTTGGTGCCCCTAGACATGCAGTCTCTTCATTCTTTTTCCAATTCTGTATATAAATACAATTATGGCAAATATTTTCATCGAGATCTTTGCAATTGTTTTATACCTAAACAACTATTGTTCACAACACTAAAGGAATGCTGTTTAATCCTTGACTAACATCCTTTTGTTCAGTGTGTCATTATAAACTTTAGATGCCATAGGAACTTCTCGTTATCAATTAGCCTGTGGTCAAACTGGCTTCCTGTACACCATTTCACTTAAAGTCACAGAACCTATCAAAAGTGTTAAGTGAGGACTTCCTCTACTCACAACTTGCATTTTTTTTCACAACTCTGAACCCTTAAATGAGTAGAAATTAAATGTTCCACTTACCTCTAAACATGAGTAAGTTCAAATCATATTCACTCCTACAGATAAAAACACCAAATAAAATATTGAAGAGTGTGTGATAAAAAAAATAATAAAACCTATACAGAGCTATATTCAGCTGTCAGAATTTTGTTTTAGTTCATGTCTGTATCATTCAGCAGTTGAACAGTTAAATTCATCATCTGAACTGCAGTGGTACCTAAGGTTACACTGTCACCAACTAAAACTTACCAAAGCTATCTATCACTCCCTAGATTAGTAGATCGTCAGGATACAAATACCTAAGACCAAAAAAAATTAGATTAGGTCTTTCATAGTTTTAGCAGCTTTGTCTTGTAGTTCCTTCCCACAGATCTAACACTTAGTTCTGTGAATAAAGGAAGCAACATATTTCCTCTATGAGGCGTTTCCAACGACGCAGGTCTACAGAAAAAACCCCATCGGGATAGACCTCAATCATTATTTACACGTTTTAAAAGACAAAACCAAGTCTAAGATTCCACAGAAGGACAACTAGATTTGATCTGCTCAGCCACTTTGAGTTCAAAACTGTGTAAGAAGTCAAGCATCCTCCCATTTATAATAAATTTAAAGAAATCATCCCATCAAATTAATCACGTAAGGATTTTAACAACTCTGCTTAGAAATGGGTATATACTGATCCCCACCAAAAAACATGCAAAATGCCAAACAGCTATATTCTAGACAATCCAAAGGAAAAATATCCATGTATAATTTGAAGTCTTGATTTTTATAAACTTGGATACTGCAATGTTTTGCCTACAAAATTCCCAGATTACAAAGCAAAAAATTTACTTGCCACAGAATTGAAAATCTCTATAAAATATCTTAAAATTTTTTAATATATAAAAAAAATGGGAAAAAATGTAATGTGTTAATGTGGCTGTATTTATGTTCTTAATCATTTGAGAACTTCATACAATCCAAACTTATGACATCTTGTGTTTGGTGTAGTTATTTCTAGTATTACAGTATTATACCTAATTCATTTTAGATCATGCATTAATTTAAACGTTATGTATGCTTAAAGTGAGAATATCCAAGATTCTAGTTATTGCTATAGCCCAGTTTACAGTTTTCTGACCCTTATGTGCAAGGCAAGTGAAGCTGGCACAGTGTCACTATAAAACAGTGATTTTCCTAAGATTCATTTTCTGAAGTTATGTCATAAACAGAAATTAAAAGTTGGCAAAAAGTCTTTAATAATGAAACCTGTGAAGATTTAGATTATCTGACAATGTGCTATGTTTAAACAAATTTGATCCAAAATCTCACAGAATAAGACATACCTTTTAAGTCCAGACATGTAAGGTAAAACCCTACAAAAAAAAAAGTCATCTTTGTGTCATTATCAACATTAAAATTAAGATACCAAATCAGTATGATTGAGATTTCGCTTAGTCTATGCTTTTTTTTTTTTTTTAATTTTTTTAATCCTCAACCGAGGACAATTTTCCATTTTTTGTTCAGATAGAGCGGGAGGGAGACAGAGGGAGAGAGAGAGAGAGAGAAACATCGATGTGAAGGGACACATCAAGTGGCTGCCACCCACACAACCAACCAGGGCCAGGGACAAACTGCAACCGAGGTACGTGCCCTTAGCGGGAACCGAACCCGGGTCTCTCTGTACCGCAGGCCGACGCTCCAACCGCTGAGCCAAACCGGCCAGGGCTAGTCTATGCTTTTTAAATTATTAGTTCTACAGTCCAGATACCAACATTTGTTTTAGGTATAATGTTCCTTCTTATATGTATCAAAACTCATACTGAACAATGAGTTCTGGGTTGCAAAAGAGGCTTTATTTTTTGCACCTGTATGTAGTCTTTGTCCACAAATCAAACAAAAACAAACACAAGTGCTTTTGTAAAATGCAATATATATACCACTACAATCGATAATAAACAGTGGTGCTAGAAGACAATGATGGTTGAAATATTCTAGGCTATTAAAAGGGGGAAATTATTAAATTCTTACCAGCACTAAACATTTGACACTTAAGGTTACATTTGTCGGAATAATACTTGGATAAAAATACATTAAAGGAAGGATTCAGATATCCCAAGAAGGGTGACTGGTTGCTATTCATTAGTGATTACTGTAACTATGATTTTCTTTTTAGATTACAATCTCTATACTTGATTCAGCGCTCAAATTGTATCTTTAAACTCTTTCCCTGAAATAAACAAGTACAGGCAAAAACAGAAGGACCCTTATTATTTTGCAAGATATTACTTCTACTATTAAATGCCTAAATTTTTGTACGTGCATAATTTCATTTTTAAATTTTTTCCCAATAATCACTTCATTCTTGAGCAGTTTCTTTCACAAATTTGCTTAGATTCTTTTTATTTTTGTCTTAGATGAAAATGTCATATACATTTACATCATCTTTCTGTCAAGTTTTTCTCTCCATTCTCTTTACCTTGGCATTCATATTCCTGTCTCCTTTTCAGGCCATTCTGTCTTCTGTCCCATGTTTTTGGACTTTGATTTTTAGATAAAGCAGCTTCTTCAGTTCTTCTTTGGTAACTCAGAACTTATTATGAAATAATTATTCTCCTGCATAAAAGATACCAATATTAAGCAATAACTAATACTTGACTGCATTAGTAATTTCACATAACTGAGCTCTAGGTGATTTCAATCTGGAGACTAAGATGTTAAAATCCAATTAACGTCTCCTTTTACTCTTATTTGATATTCTAGTAGCAATGCACGTATAAAACTTAACAATAGTATTGAAAAGTCCATGTCACACTCCACTATCCCCCAAATATATTCTTTTTGCATTTCCTACACCAAATGTAATGAAGCCATTCCAAAATTAAATACAGACTGTTAAGACAATAACTATTGGATAAAATTCTTTCTGTAACCGAGGTGCCCTCCCAAAAGTAACTAGGATAAAAATGTCACTTACCACCAACTTAATATCACATTCATCATCACGTTCAAGATTTGCTGCAGCCTCATCCTCTCCTCTGTAACATTAAAAATACCATCAGAGTTAGACATCTTCATCAACTACATAAAAGCCTACATGACAATGAAGATAAAAAACTGAAACATCCTAAGCCACCAAACCTCCAGGATAATGACTACTAGACTATGGACATAAATTGGAGATCTCTAAAATCTGATCCAGGGTTCTAGGAGAGCCACCCAGCTCCTTGGAAGACCCCACAGCCAACCCAGTTCCTTGGAAGACACCAATGTACCTCTCTACTAAAATATTTATTACCTCTGAAACCTCAACTCCCATTTCTATTTATTTACTGAGCTCTGAAAGAAGCCCAATCTCTTAATTTTTTCAGTATTATTTTCATCTGTGTTTAAGCTAGTTCCATAGGGTCACACCCTATGAGTGTTTTAAAAGGGATTTTAAGTTGTACGAAGAAAACAAATGTTTCTTGGGGAGCCAACTGAAGCTTCCCTTCCAAGCCTGACCATACTTTATAGTTGGGCTGTTTCCCATCCCATATCTCCCTCCAATTTATTTTGTCCCTGGGTCCAGGGCTCCCAAGCGTTACAAAGATCTCACCCTCTTAGAGAAACTAGGGTGCTCCTTTGATAATTAACATCCCAGTATCTCAGAGAGATTCCCTTAACCTCATTCCCTAACCACTTTGTTCTTGAAAGCTGAGGCCAGCTTATTATTTATAACAACCTAAAATTGGGTCTAATGGGACTCAGTTTTAACTAGAAGCAGTACAATTTCTCTGGGAATGTTACATTGTTTGTCTTTGTAGCAGACTTTAATTTTGAATAAATGGACTCTACTAAAATCATCAAATTAATAAAAATACCACTCAGATGACTAAATCTTCTATAAGCCAATTGATAGTAGATGGTCACGATACACAACTGAATAGCAGTGCCAGTCAAGGGGAAAAATTATGCTGTCATGTAAAACACCCAAAATTGGCTCTCATGAGCCAGACTCATAGCTCAACTGTTATAACGCAAATGGCCTTTTGTATTTCCCATTAAAGTACAAACAAATTAATAGCATACAGATGAATTAACATTAAAATGTAAAAACACTTAATTTGATAAAATTTATGACCATAATTTGACATGATTAAACTTACGCTGACTCTTCAATAGGAGAGAGAGATCCATCGTCATCCAAGTATTTGTATCTACGACTATCAAGGTCATCCTTTTCTAAATCTTCACCAACATTCATCTGTTTTAAGGATTCCTTGAGGTGGTATTCATACTTCAGTTTTTCAAGGTAGTTGAAAAATCCTCTTGCCACTGCTTGCTACACATCAGAAAGAAAAAAAAAAAAATTAAACCATGGCCTTACAAAATAAAAATTTTCTCCATCCCTGACCAGATATCCTGTGTTCCAAAATGGCAAGGATTCCCTTACTGATCCTGTCTTAACTACTCTGCCATATGCAGCTCACAATACAGCAAATGCTGGTTGTAAAAAGAATTCACTACTACCTATAAAGTTACCAGACTCATCAAAGTTGGTACCAAGAGAATCAAGCACAAATCTTTTGTTGAGAATTACTAAAGAGTTAAATGTAGATAAACACATTTCTGATGCTAATTATAATTACCTTAAAACATAGGGTTAGCCCCTGCCAGTTTGGCCCAGCGGTTAGAGCGTTGGCCTGCAGCCCAGAGAAACCGGGTTCAGTTCCCACTAAGGGCACGTACTTCGGTTTTAGTTTGTCCCTGGCCCTGGTTGGGTCATGTGGGTGACAGCCACTTGATGTGTCCCTTTCACTTCGATGTTTCTCTCTCTCTCTCTTCCTCCCGCTCTATCTGAATAAAAAATGGAAAAATGTCCAGGGGTGAGGATAAAAAAAAAAAAAACATAGGGTAAACTAGTATTAATCCCCTCGAATAAATCAGATTCTAAATTAAGGAATTAAAAATTAACTATGCAAACATTAACTCAAGTCCTTGAGAGTATACTGCTAAGTACTGGGCATTTATGAGGCAATTCTGTTAGAAACTGAACACTCTATTTGTGAGAAAATGAAATCTACTGAAGTCACTGAACATGGAAGGAGTTGGGGTTTGACCTAGGTTATAATCGGGAATCATTTGAGTTTTAGGGATGATGTTAAAAAACCGATAGGATGAGATCATGGGATTTTATATGAACAGCTTTGAAGGTATACATATACAGATATAGTCAATGAATTTACCAGTGAAAATTTCACCCAGTAGCCCAAGTGAAATTTGAGCTGAAGTAGGCACATCTAAATTCTAAGTGACCAACAAACCATTTCAGGCACTTTAACTATTGGCACCCACATATGTTAACTCACCTCAAAAGTTAAAATTTTTCTCCAAGGTAATGGTTTTCTTCCATTCTCTGATTCCAAAAATGATAACTGTTGTCTTTTATCTTTAAATTGTTTCTTATTTATTTGTGACCTCGTGTTTTTCCTTCCTTTTGGTCTTCCCCTTTGTCTTCCTGTTGGCTTATATTTCTTCCTCTTTTTACGTTTCTTTTTCTTAAGTCTTTCAAAAATAGCTTTTAAAGTCAATGGTCTTGGTTCTAAAGACGAGTCACTGGATGAATCTGTTGCTTGAACACTTTCAAGTGAACGAACACACTTTCTAATAGGATTTCTTGGCCTCCGTTTAGGTGAATAAGGAACACACTGAGTTTTAAATAAACTGCTACCAGAGGAAGAGTTATCACTAGGGAAAAAAGGGGGGAGGTGGATTAGTTTTTTCCTCTTTAAATAACTGAATGCTTATTACCAATAATATAAGTTTCTTCCGAAGACCAAAGCCAGTCTATGTAAACCATTTTTTTCTTTTCTAATCCTTGAAAATTACCTGTACCATCATTCATCATCTACAATGGCTTGCTTTCCCGGTAATTCAAATACAGTAAACATTATCATCGAATCAAGTGTTTTCCAGTAAAAAGCTGGTGGTTGCTGTTGATATAAAAAAATACACTTACCTTTGATTTTCAATTTCCATAGCTGAGTCAGATGCTGTAATGTAGTCCAGAGAATCCATTCCTGATGTTTTCTCCAAGTCCTTCACAAAATTGTTATTCATCACTTATTTGCTTTCACTGAATTTCTGACAACATAAAACAGTACATATGTAGTTTCCCTTAACAAATAAATGCCAGCACAAACAGCTGATATTCAAGCAATACAAAATTTGACGCAGTCAGATTATGCCATTACATGTAAATTAAGGCACAACCATTTACAAGGCCCTTTAACATTAATTTTCATGTGGGAACCATCCATTTCAGATCAAATTCTAAAATCGAAAAATTTTGATTAGTTTTATCTTTCAATTGTGCCTCTAAAGCTATCCTGTGAAAAGATTCTAGAAAAGTAATGTCATTCCCCTCCAAAATATCAACCCTCTTTCCATAACAGGAATATAGTTTTATCATTAGCCATACAGCAATATGCAATTACAAGTATAATGTACAATCAATGACCCAAAAGCCATGTTCCAAGAGCAGATGGGAACTCCTAGAAGTTTTACATAGAAAACCAGAAAGCAGAGTCTGGTCTCAGTATATCAGGAAAAATAATCATGATTTACTATCTCAATCCAATACACTATTTTAAAACTCCTGGTCTGGAATTTTACTTATGGCCTTTTCCCATTCATACTGTGATTCAACAAAATCACTGTGAAACCTTTCTTACAGATGTCTTTATCATTATGGTTATTAATTTATTCTCATATTTCAATGAGCCTGTTGGACTACAACAATGTCCTTCATTTTCCTTTAAAAAAAAATAACTCCTTGAAGATTTTACAATAGTTTGGGGAAATAATCTAAAAAAGACAATTTAACTCCACTGCATCTCCCCTACGGAGGATGTCACCATTCTTCCATTTTTGTATTGTTAATAGTGTTAACATACTTGAGAATGACCAATGAGTAAAGATGAAAGATATCTTAGAATTAACAAAATATTTAAAATGTGAGACATCAGTAAGGTCACAGAGATCTTAGATTTTCAATGTCCAATGGACCCACATAGTAATTTCATGGTTTTATTGTAGTTAAAACTAAGTCATGATCAAACTAAGTCATGAAATGTTCAAAACTGAAATTCGACAAAATTGGGTACAATGGCACTGGTGGTATTCTGAGGTTAAATTAAAAAAATATATTATTAGAACATTATCAGGTTAAGGTGTAGTTAACTCAAAATCACATTTTCTTAAACTTATTTAGAAAGCATTCCCACCGAAGCGTCCTTCCTACTCCGAGATTCTGCGAGGCCACGTGGCCTAATGGTGCCCCTACAGCTGCTAACACCTCCTCTCTAACCACCATGAGACCTTGGGGCGACTATCTCCAGAAGCACCTAACTTTCCGCACAGAAAACGGCCTAAGTGTTCCCTCGCACTTGTTAACCCAGAACACCTGTACTTGTCTATAACCTCTACAATTCAGACACACTGGAGGACGCCCACATTATAACCGTGTTATGTGTGGCTGCAGTCCAACCACTACACCCGAAGCCCACAACAACCACGAGCCCTCCACCCTCAGGGCCTGACTCCTTCGGCTCGATCCCCCAGAGCAACGCGGGGATCCCGGGGAAAGCTAAAAGCGCAACCCCTCCTTCACGCACCAGGCCCGGGCAGCCTTGTCCTCTTCCTCTCCCATACAAGTCAGCAGACCGCTTGCACCAACCAGCGCCGGCTCAGTAAAAGCCTCAGCAACGTGCTCGAGCCCGCAACCCAGGCCTGGGAGGTTTGCGTTGAGGAACCGCTCGACCTCCGCACTAACAGGCAACAACCGCCTACCTCTGCAACTGCGCGGAAGAAAAGACTGAGCAACCGCACAACTCAGCTAATAGTGGGGTCAAAATCTCGCGATAACGATTTAACTCCGGAAAGAGCGTGAGAGGCGGGAGCATAGGGTCGCCATTTTGGTCGCCACGGAGGGAGGAGCGATTAAAGGTGGGCGGAGCCTGAGCTCCCTAACCCAGAGGAGGTGGAGTTGACTGAGGCAGTATTTAGGTGCAGGCTTCCCTAACCGATTAGGTAAGTTTTATCGCCGAGAACGTTTGGGCAAATGACAAACAGAAATTGTGGGGTCAAGTGAATGGAATGGATGTGAACTGCGAGGAGACAGCCACTGAACCTGATTTGTTACCAGTGAGTGGCCTCGCATTTGCTGATCTGGCGTCCAGAGGGTGGTGGTTGTCTATGTGGTGTCAAGTGTGTTTTGTCGGATTATGTATGTCAGTGTTTGCCTTCGAAAAGCTCTTTCTGTGTTAAACTGTGAAAGGGTCACGCTTTGACTGTCACTCAAAATATGGAACCTTTGTCCTGGAAGCCGGTGTTACTGCACAGCACACCCAGTTCCCCTCTCCACCTTTGGACTTGTTAGCTCACTCTAACTCTAAACTGGGGTCAGCTCCCAGCAGTTGGTTAACATGTCACTGGGGATCTTTTATTCCCTCAATTTTTTCCTCCTTTTAGTTCCCTTGTTGTAACCCAGGAGATCGACCAAACTCAGACGCCGAGATGGGGTTTAATAAAAGGAGTTTATTGAGCTAAGTCCGCAGGCACCTGCAGTATGTCCCACACAGGAGTAACTGTGGCCCCGGAGAGCTAAAATGGCTCCTTTTTATAGGATTTTGTAAGGGGGTTGCTACGTGTAAGCAAGCATGTTACAGAAGCGGAATTTAGCAGTTAGTTAATTACCTGTTACTCAGTTTCCCAGACATCTCAAAGGTCAAGATGTTTTCAACAGATTATCGCTGGTGCCGCCCAGGATTACTCAAGGGTTAGTTATTACCCCAGGGTTAGCGATTACTTAGGGATTAGTTAGTGAAGAATGTTCTTCAGTAAAAGAGTAAACTGACAACCCCTTTGGTTGTCGTGAAGGCCTCTGGGATTTTAGGTCAATGGCACTGAGTTATAACACCCTGAGAATTAAGATAAAACAGTTTCAACTAGCTTAGATAAAACAGTTTCAACTAGCTTAGTTTGGGTGGGGCTTCTTCCCCAAGATAGTTACAAATTTGAAGGAGCTGGTTTGATTTGTCCATTTTAAGACCTCTTGCATCATATGATAAACCAGCAAACCTATCTAGTCTTAGTTTATAGTTAGTGTCATCTCAGGATTGGACAGACCTGGAAGGTAATCTAGTCTCTTCACTCAGTCTTACTCCAAATATTGAACAGTTCCAGGCACAAAAAGTCTAATCCTGTAGGCATTTCCAATCTATGAAATATTGTGAGCTCCAGGACAGTTATCACATCTTAGCCACTGCCATATTTGGGAGCAGGCCTGGTCACGTAATTTTTTAGGCTCAACAAAAAATGAAAATGCAGGGTCACTTGTTCAAAAATCAGGCGATAAGTACCATTAACAGTACTAAAATATAAGCTGTAAAAGGATCATGCTAATTTTGTCACTCAAAATATGGAACCTTTGTACTGGAAATGTTACTCTGAAGCACACCCAAATATAAGCTGTCTCCTTTCTTCTGTGGTGTCTCTTTTGACTTATCATAGTGTTTTCATTAATAGCATCAATTTGCTATTATTGATAGCAGTACTAATCATGCTATTATTAAATATTAATTATGCTAATACTTATTAGCTAAATTTCTTAATTTGCTAAGGAAATTTTAAATTTAAATTATTAGCATGAATTTTTCCATTCTTTATATTGGGCAATGCCAGTTTTAAATCAAATATAAGAACACTTAATACATATGCAGAATCATTGAAATTTCACAATTTGTATGTCATAACTTATACAAGCATCTACTGTACTTACTAGAACAGTGGAAAATGCACAAAACGAACTCAACTATATTTATTTTACTTCTTGATGTACATTCTACCAACACTATGGAATCCAGAGACCATGGATCATGGGTCCACCGGAATTCTATGCTTACCCAGCTTCACAAATGCTTTATGTGAATGGGGGTAGTTAGGAAAGGTGATGGGTGTGCACACTGCACCTCTGTCCTCCCATTCCATGCATGCTCCATTGCCCTATCTATCAGTCGTAAACAAAAGTTCAAGTATAAAGTTAAGAATTTCAAGATGACAGCAGACATTAAACCAAGTGCCATTCTGAGCATATGGCCTTGTGCAGCTGCACTAGTTGCACGTACATGAAGCCAGCCCTGTCCCAAAGCCAGAGTCTGGTACATTGTAAATGTTCAATAAATAATTAAGGCTGCTCCTGGCTCAGTGATTAGAGTGTCAGCCTGTGCATGTACCTGGGGTGCAGGTTTGATCCCCACCCCTGTCAGGGTGCATGTGGGAGGCAACCAATCCATCTCTCTTTCTCCCCCACCCCCTTCAGCTCTCTCTAAAAATCAATGGAAAAAAATATCCATGGGTGAGGATTAACAAAACAAAACAAAATTTGACTGAACTGATGCTCATTGTTTACTAGGTACTTGGAAGTGTTAAAAAGGAAAGAAACAGGGAAGAATGGAGTCATTTTTGCTAAGCCTCCTCACCAAACCAAAACTTATTAACTAACCTAATTGCAGTTTCAGCCTCTCCCAGGGGTAAATTTTCAACCAATCAGTCTAGAATATCCAGATCAAAACTAGTAAGGTAATCTGCTTGATAAACAGCCTTCCTCACAGGTCCTTTTATCCCCAAAGAATAAGACCTGGCCTAAAGATAATCCTTTCTTTTGCTAGTAACTTGTCTGCTACCCCCTTCTGATTATTAAAAAAACTTCCATTTTTGTACCGCCCCTGGAAGTGCCTTCTACTTGCTGGATGGGATGCTGCCTGATTCATGGATCTCTTAATAAATCCAATTACATTGTCAACTTGACTCAGTTGAATTGTGTTCCTTAATAGAATACCAATGAGAAACATAGTCCGATATTCAAAGAGATCACAGTCTAAGGGGAAGAAACAAAGTAAACAGATGATCAAAGGTATATTCTGAATGCTGTAAGATGGCTCTATACAAATTCTTCCCTAATGTTAGCTGAAATGTGTCGTTCCTTCACTGGTTAACTCTCATATGTGATGAGTTCTGGCTTTACAGTGTGTTAGATTTGGTTTGAATTCTGTTTCTGCCGCTTATAATAGCTGTGTGGTGTCAAGTAAATACTGTATTTTTACATTTTAACTCTTATGAAATGAGAACGGAAACATCGATGTGGTTGTGAGAGGTTTTGGGAGAATGTCTGTCAAGTCCCTAACGTCATGTCTGGTACGTAAGATACAGTAAATACATAGTTACCAATGTGGTTGCCATAGCTCTTTCACACACTTAGGCATTGTTTCTGCAGTTCCACTTATCCAACTGGCTCCTATTTCTATTCCCATCTCTAGACCCCATTTCTGGGCCGCTAACTCTTCAGCAATGGAATCTGAAAGGTAAATGTGTGCCTCCATGTGGCCCAAAGCTGCCCTGGAGCCACTCTGAGTTTATGTTAGAACCTTTCCATTCCCTCTCTCTCATCACTCCAACTTGAACCTCCCTCCCACTCGCACTTAACCTCTTTTTTTTTATCCTCACCTGAGGACATTTTTCCATTTTTTGTTTAGATAGAGTGGGAGGAAGAGAGAGAGAAACATCAGTGTGAAAGGGACACATTGAGTGGTTGCCACCTGTAAGACCCAAACAGGGCCGGGAACAAACTGCAACAGAGGTGCGTGCTCTTAGCAGGAACCGAACCCAGGTCTCTCTGGACCGCAGGCTGACACTCTAACCCCTGAGCCAAACCAGCCAGGGCTCCCATTTTAACTCTTAAACACACACTCCCACATTGCCTTCCGGACTGTTGGTTTCCCTGAAGTTGTACATTTCTAAACCAGTTACTCAAGCTGTAGCCTCTGCCAAGGTTGGACTTTTTATTTTGGTGAGAAAGAAAACAAACAAACAAACAAAAAATAATGAATTTCATTTAATGATAGTAAAGAGCCGTGGCTGGTTTGGCTCAGCAGTTAGAATGTTTGCCCACAGACCAATGAATCACAGGTTTGATTCTGGCCAAGGACAGGTACCTTGGTTGTGGTTCGTCCCCGGCCCTAGTTGGGGTCCTACAGGAGGCAGCCACTTAATGTGTCCCTTTCACGTCGATGTTTCTCTTTGTCTCTCTGTTCCTCTCGCTCCCTCCCACTTTATCTGAACAAAAATGGAAAAATGTTCTCCTGTGAGGATAAAAATGATAAAAATAAAGATAAAGATAGTAAAGGGTATAAAATTAAGACACATTTGAACTTGAGTCTTTATTATTCCTACTGGAAGTAGAAACATCTAGAATGTTTTTATTATCCTCATTATAAATTAATATGGTATTCATTGAACAGATTTTGACATATTCTTAATTAGTACTTGCTAGGATTATGATAAAGACAATAGGGTAAGGTGTTAACACTTGGAAAATCTAGGTGAAGAGTATACAGGAATTATTTGTATGTATTTTTCTGTCCATCTGAAATTATTTCCTTTTTTAAATTAATTGATTTATTTTTGTTACAGATGTTTCTCCTATTCCCCCACTGATTCCCCTCTCCCCCTCCCTTCCCGCCCTGTCCCTAGCTTTGTTGTCCATGTCTACTGTTCATGCATACATGCATATAATTTCTGTGGTTTATCTCTCCCTGCCCACCCCCTCTTCTGGAGATTCAGTCTATCCCCCATTTCCACGTCTCTGGGACTACCCCATTCCTCAGACTGTTATGTTCATTATATTCCACAAATAAGTGAGATCATGTGATACTTGTCTTTCTCTGTTTGGCTTGTTTCGCCTAGGATAATACTTTCCAGGTCCCTCCATGTCGTCTCAAAGGATAAGAGATCTTTCTTTCTTACAGCTGCATAGTACTCCATTGTGTATATGTACCACTGCTTTTTTATCCATTCGTCTACTGATGGATATTTGGGCTGTTTCCAGATCTTAGCTATTGTAAATAGTGCTGCTACGAACATGGGGGTACATATATTCTTTCTGATTGGTGTTTCAGGGTTTTAGGGTATATTCCTAGAAGTGGGATCACTGGGTCAAATGGAAGTTCAATTTTTAATTTTTTGAGGTAACAACATATTGATTTCCATAATGGCTGCACCAGTCTGCATTCCCACCAGCAGTGTATTAGAGTCCCCTTTTCTCCACACCCTCACCAACACTTGTTGTTTGATGATTTGTTGATGGC